TTTCTAGGTGGGAACAGGGGCATGCTGGGAAGAAGGGTTTGTTCTTTGGTGGGAGCAACCATCTTGGCATGACGTCACACAGGGGAGGGGGCAAGGCACCATAGGAAGAGGGTAGCTACTATACATAATAGCTGCTGAGGTGGTGGGAGACCTATCACACCCTAGATAATCTCAGTTGGCCCACCTTTTTTTTTTTTTTTTAGAATAGGACAAATTTATTGGGAGAAAGAAAGCTTCTGTCTAAGAGAGACACAAGGGGTTCCAGAAAGTGGGTTGCCCACCCACCCCACTTTTCAAGGACGTTTTATACAGCAAAGCCATGTGGTGAGGCGGTCCATCTTTATGTTTACTGATTCTTCTGCTATTGAGCATTATCTTATTATTTATTTTTTTTTAATTTCAGTAACTTTTTTCAACCGCAGAATTTCTGTTTGGGTCTTCTAATTTCTGTTTCTGTTGATATTCTCTGTTTGGTGTTAATGTTACTGTGAAACTTTATTTTTAATTCTTTGGACATGGATTTCTTTTAGTTCTTGAACATATTTATAATACCAAGTTAGCATCTTTGTCTTGTAAGTCCAAGTTCTGGACTTCTTCAGGCATAGTTCTCGACAACTTTTCCTGTTTATGTGTTCTTTGTTTTATCTGTGTTATCTATAATGTTTTGTGTTGTTATTGTTGTTGAAAACTGGACATTCGAAGAACTGTAGCAGCTCTGGAAGCCAAGTCAAGTCCCCTGCTAGGCTGTGTTGGTTGTGTTTGCTGCTCCTCCTCTTTGCTTGTTTAGTGATTTTCCTGGACTAGTTCTGTGAAGTTCATGTTCTTTGTCATTCAAAGACTCTGCTCCTTTAATTGCGTGATTACCTAGTACCTGGATAGAGCGTTCTTTAACTGCTGTGGGCTGCTAAGTCTGAGGGCCTGTGTTGAAGGGGGCGTGTGTCTTCTGGTGTGTATAGTGCTTGGGACGCTGTTTATACCTCTGCCTTAAGCTTCAGTTCCTGTATGTGCAGATCCTTAGAGTCACCCAACATCGAGAGGTGAGGACCTCTCAGATTGTGCCTGTGCCTTCACACACACCTGAAAAATGTGTGGTTTTGATTGTTAGGAATATGTCAGACCTTTTCAGAGTGCCCTGTGGACATTTCTCCACAGTTCTTCCTTTTCAGCTTTTGATTAACCTCTTCTCATCCCCAGCTGGTATTGTTTCCCTAGATGACTGGGATTGTTGTGATGCCTTTTCATCTGGTTTTTTTTTGGTGGTGGTGGGGGGATACCAGGGATCTAACTCGGGAGATGAACTCGCTTGCGAGTTCATCTGTTTTTGACCAATGAACTGTGGGCAAGGCTGTCTACAAAGAGTTCTAAATCAGGGCAAATACAGGTCAGCCTAAGAAGGGAGCTTTCCAGGGTGCCCAAATGCCAAACAGAGGCCAAATGCCTCTGTTCTCTAGGGATAGGGCTTTTGGGATGCTCCAAGGCTATTCTTTCCCCTCTACTGGCTGCTATTTTGCAGGATGGCACAGTTATTGTAGTTGTAAAGGGGATAGTTTTTAAGGCTGCCCAGAGCTAGTGAGAAGGGGGTGGGAATAGAGCAAGTTAAAATGGCATAAAACTTGATATTCTTGCCTAGACTCAGCCATTTTCTTGAACAAATGCCTTGTAGATGATTGCAAGTCTTTGCTTAATTTCCAGAGTTCTGACAGTTGATATTAGCACTTTTTTTTTTTGTATCGGGCATAGAACTCAGGACCTTGCGCTTGCAAGGCAGGCGGCGGAACCACTGAGCTAAATCCCCGGCCCGATTTTAGCAGTTTTTGCCAGTGTTCTTTTTTTTTATGGAGGAGCTTTTTTATTTTTATTTTTTGAGGTCTTCACTGCCATTCTGGAAATGCTTCTTTTGTCTATTATTATTATTGCTGCTACTACTTTCATGATGTTTTGGTTTGAACTCAGAGCCTTGTGCATGCTAATCTGTCATCTGGCAGGGTCCAAGGATGTCCCCAAAGAGGAGATGGGGAACTCTGGACTCACTTCATAGTAGGGCAGGCTGCAGGTTCGCCGACTTCTACCACAGGAGAGGGATTTTCAGGTTGTGTCAGTGTCAGGACAAGGGGTTCATTAATCAGAATTTTGAAAGTGCTCACTCGAAATAGATTGCAGGCCCTCAAGAGGGAGAGAGGTACCTCGTGGCCTTGGGCTGGGTGTATTTACGGGGTTTTGGGGTATCCCTAAGATGGGTTCTCCAGGATATATATTTTGTTTTGTTTTAGTTTTTGGTACTAGGAATCGAACTCGGGACCTTCCCCTTGTGAGGCAGGGGGCGGAACCACTGAGCTAAATCCCTGGCTGGGATATATATTTTAGTGTCTGTCAGGTTTTTCCCATTTCAGCCCATTTCATGAGCAGTGTTAAAATGCAAGCTGTTAGATGTGTTTGAAGCTAAGATCTGCTGTCCTCTTGTGAGCTTCCTGGGGAGCGGGGTTGGGAGGAGGGAGCACAGTGTATAGGTGAGAGGCACAGGCAAACAGACCCTGGTTTATAGGCTAATTGTCTTTAAGGGCCTTAGAGATTTTTCCTGGAAGGCGAGGGGGGGGAAAGCTTGAATAACTTTTATGTCCTGAAGTTGCAGTTTTTCTTAAAAAGTACAATTATAATATTGTAATTTTCCTTGTCTCTTTTCTATCTTTATTTTGTCTCACCTCAAGGCCAAGGGTTGTGTCCCGCAGTCTTAGTATTATTTTAAATACATGTAAAGCTATTTTATTTCAGACATAAAACATTTCGGTGTTTTTTGGGGGGGGGTACTGGGGATTGAACTCGGGACCTCGCACTTGCAGGATAGGGGGTATAACCACTGAGCTAAATACCCCGCTTCAATGTAAATTAAGAAGGAGAAAAGTAGAGTTGAGAAGTAATCCTTGGGTTCATTTTCACACTTAACATTTCCTAGTCCTTTTACGAATGTTAGTCCTTTAATATTGTTTCTTTGCTAGTATAGCATTTTGTCCTGTTCTCTTCAGTTGTCACATCCTCTTATTTCCATTTCTTTCTTAGTATTGCTTCTTACACAGTTACTTAACCGTATTGTCGTAGTAGTTTGGCACATTGCTATAGTGATGCTCTTGATGTATTGTGGCATCTTGCTTTTTAGTGCAAACTGCAGTGACTAGCCTGCAAGGGTACGGAGAGGGTAACAGCACAGACTGTATATAGCATGGTGTAAGACAGAAAATGTAGACAGGTACATTGGGTTTTTGGTGGAGACAAAGTTGGGCAAGACTCACTGGAGTTTTCAAAATAGTTGTACCTAAAAAGTTTTAAATCATATTTTTATTTTACTGTCTCATTTCAAGAAGTATTTTGAGACAGTTTTAGAAATCTTGCAGCTATATCATTGAACAGGAAAAAAATGAAAAATAAATTACAGTATGAAAGTGAAAGTAAAGCTTGTGTACCAAATAGGCCAGTAAATCATGTTGGGTTTTATCACATTAGAGTTGTGGTGATTGAATGGTTATTACATATTGAACTCCATGAACTTGCACCATCTGAAAGGAATATTAGAGTCAAGCCACAGTTATTTTCTAAGTGTATCTCTAAGCAGTTTCATGATCCATCACTGAGAATGAAGTTGATCTTTAATATATCTTTAGTACTCATTATTTTCATTGGCTAATTTCAAAGGCACTCAACATATTTTACTTTAGTGATTGTTCCAGGATTGTGCTGGTATATTTTTGACAACTTGCATGGATCATATTGCATCACAGAATATGTTGGCATTAATATAACTAAAATCTCTGGTTTTAATGTATTTTCTTGATCATATTCTTAGGTTCATCAAGGCTTATAAGAAATTCGGTCTCCCTCTTGAACGGTAAGCTCAGTAATCTTTTATCTTCTTTTTCAGTCTTAATATATGGCAGGTGGTTCTTTTGGCAGTATTTTTTAATTTAGTAATAATGCTGGGAACATTTTTTTCTGGAAATATCCTTTTCTATACATTGACATGTGTGTGGGGGGTGTCCCTCTCTGGAAGTTTGCAGTAGAGACAGACCACCCAGAGGTTCCCCCTCAGTGAGGGAGATGAAGCAAGTGGATGCAGAACTACATAGTGCACAAAGTGGTTTCCACGAGAGTTCGGGTGGCTCCAGTGGGAAAGAACATGTGCAGTTACTATTTGCATTCTAGTTCTTAGACTTAGTAATGTTGAAGGAGGTAGGTTGTTTGTGATTTCAAAATCTTCTACTAATTAGCAAGGTGTCGTGAAAATTAAAGAACTTGCCAACAGTAACAAAGAGCTTAGCTGTTAGCATTATTCAACAAGTATTGAAGTAATGAATTCAGAAGTCAGAGTTTAATTGATGGCTCTATTTTACATAGATAAGTATTTTGCTATGTAAAAAATCAGCAGAACGTCCTTTAAATAGTAGCACTGATGTAAAGGAAATGTTAAGTTCCTGATAAAGTTCTAGAGCTGGTGGAAATTCCAAGCCTGTGCTTTTTGTTTTGTTCTTCCATGTAGTACGGAAGTGGTGATGTGTAATAACTCACAGCACAACTGAAAAGTACTTCTTTCCAGGCTGGCTACCCAGAAGTAAAATGCTTATCTTTTCTGTTTTAAATATCTTTGAGCCATAACTGTAAAAGCCCGCAGGATGTGGAAAACCGGGTTTGATGCCTTCAGACAGCCTGATTTTTAGCCATTGTGTGCATGGGCTCTGTGTGACTTGGAGACAGCTGAGTACTGTACTGCACTCCTAGGAGCACTGCAGTGAATGAAAGTGGATGCGAGAAAGGAAAGTGAACACAAAGAGGCAAAATAATGCCAAAGTCTTTAGGCACTGTACTTGCTAACAGAAGCAGATAGCCCGTTTATCTAATAAGGTTGTTTCTCTGATTTTTGGAATTACTTGTGGAATATTCCATGACACAGGTCTTGAAAATGAGTGCCTTATCTCTTAGTGACTGTCTAAGGATTGTGTTTTTAAAAACATTTCTTTTTGGTGCTGGCGATTGAACCCAGGATGTCACACGTTGTCCAGCGGTTCTTGTTGGAGTCTTTGACCTGTGAAGGAAGGCAGCAAAAGTGTCTTTGTAGAAACAAGCTTATGAGAGACTATTGGAATCTTGTGTGATGTTTTAAAATGTGGACACCATGTCTGTATTCATCATCCTCAGGCTGGAGTGCATAGCACGTGATGCTGAGCTGGTGGATAAGTCTGTGGCAGACCTGAAGCGCCTGGGTGAGCTGATTCACAACAGCTGTGTGTCAGCAATGCAGGAATACGAGGAACAGCTGAAAGAAAACGCTAGTGAGGGTAAGGCAGCAAGTCTGCTTCCATGATTCTTCAGGATCAGGTGCTGTGGGTGGGTTTTCTTTACCAAGGGCTTTTGAAAACTGTACTGTACCCGACACACAGCTCATGCTTTGAGGTATGTATTCTGAGCTGTCTTTCTTTGAGCTCAGTGTTCTGAGATGCCAAAGACCAGCTATCCACAAATGAAATGGATTTGCAGAAGTTATAGATCGATGAGCAAAATGAAATGGTTTCTTGGGGCTGGGGATTTAGCTCAGTGGTGCTGCACCTGCCTCGCAAGCAGGGTCCTGAGTTCGATCCCGGGTACCGCCCCCAAAAAAGAAATGGTTTCTTTATGTTGGTATGAAAGTGTAAAATTGGCTTGACTGAAGTACAGACCTGAGGGTCAGCACCAAGTGGATGCCTCTGTATTTAGGTTGCAAGTGAGGGGTCATATAGACATCATTCTTTGGCTATACATATAGTACTGGTAAACTGGCAAATGTAAATAATTCAGAGAAATAATTGAAATAAATTATTATATGAATATTTTAAAGATTTTTGTTAACATTGAGATTTTCATGCCACTGGAATTGGTTGTACCTGGATTGGATAAGTAATATGTTTTCTTTTAGTCCTCAGAGAGTTTTTGCCTGGCCTGTGTGGTAGCTTAAAAGGAAGAGGTATAGGGATGCTTGTAGTGAGGGAGCTCCGAAGTTACCCTTAGAGAAGTGAAGAAGGTGCCTTTTCCAGTCTATGGTTTATGTGTGCCATTTCCCCCATTCTTTGTTCCTGTTTACTCTGCTGGGTAAGGCTGCCCTTCAGAGGCTCTGTTGGGGCCCAGGCCTGGGAGGCAGCCAGCTTCCTAGAATTTTGGATTTGGTTTTTCTTAGTTACAAGATCTTCGACAAGACATATCCTCATACCTCTCTTTGTGGGCAGTGGTATGATAGTAAGCAAAGGGTTTGGATGATTAATTGAATAATATTATATAATATCTGGCTTGTAGTTTCAGCTGTTATTAAGAAATGAGTATTTGTGCTTTGGTATTTTATTTTATTTTTTTTATTTTTAATTTTTGGTCCCGGGGATTGAACTTGGGACCTTGTGCCTGCAAAGCAGGCGTCGAAACCACTGAGCTAAATCCCCGGCCTGGTATTTTATTTTTAAGGGGTTTTTTTTTGGTACTGGGGATCGAACTTGGGTTGTTGCACCTGCAGGGCAGGCAGCGGGACCACTAAGCTAAATCCCTGGCCCTTTAAGGATATTTTTAAAATTAATAGAATTAAAAAAAAAATTAATAGAATTTAAGAATATTTCAGATACAGTAACAGCTTTTTTAAGGTGAAGTAAAAAAAAAACCTTTTAAAACTTACTTTTTGTAAAAGAAACTTAAATAGCTTGAATAGTTTGGACAATGATATAAATATGTGCTTTATAGCATCCAGAATACACCCAAAACTAACTTTAAACTTAGAATGTTTCTTCTTTGTAATTGTTTTGGATAAATAATATTTACATGGCTCAAAATTGAAGGAACATGTATCCCATTTTTTCATCTTTTTTGAGAAATTTTAAAATACACGTTTTTTACAAAAAATAGTACTTTTCCATTTTGAACACAAATCAAAGGTAGTGTAGTACACACACTACCATGTTCCTTGCTATTTCAGTCTCATAGTTTCAGAGATAACTTCCTTATAACAGTTCTTTCTCTCTCCATCCCTTATTTTTTTAATGCATATTCACATTCTGGATCTGACTGATTGCTTCCTCTTGGCAGAGTTTGTTTCCCCTAAATTTATATTTTCTGTAAACTGGTTATTTAGCATATTTTGAATCCAGACTGAAATTTCAGTTTCCATTGGAAGATTATTGATATTGTTCCTAAAAATATTAACATAATTATGTTTTATTCTATATAATATATATTCACTTCAAAGTAGTAATACCAATCTTACTATTATGATCCAAGCTCTCAAATGCAAAGTTTGATTTCCTTGCTTAGTTTTTTTTTATTAGAATACATCTTACTCAACATTTTGTCTCAAAATACTGTATTTTAAAATTATTTGAAGTTCTTTTCTGTGTTGGTTAAATCACCAACTTAATTTGCAGACTCCTGTTTTCATTTATTTTTAACTTTTAGGGAGTCACTTTTATTTTAACTTTTTTGATTGTATAAAACATTTACATAATCCAAAGTTAAAACTGTAAAACAGGGTTCATGTGTAACATCTTGCTCACATATTTACTTTTCACTCCTGTTCTCTTCTTCCTTCAGTCATCATTCCTAGTAGTTTTACATTTATTATTCTATTGCTTCTTTTTAAAAATTTAAGTATAATGTGTGTGTTTCTCCTGTTACTCACAAGAGAACATACTTGATTACCTTCACATCTAAGAGATCATCCCTTCTTTGACAATTGCCCAGTATTCTACCATGTAGATAGATGGTAATTCATCTTTTTTGTTCCTTAGTAATGAATATATGGTTGCCAGTCTTTTGCCATTATAGATAAAGCCACAAAGAATAAATGTGATCTAATGAATATGCTCTTTTATATCTCTACCAGCAAGTTTATGGTGTGGATTTCTAGAAGTAGGATTGCTGGATCCTGAGGGGAAACATGTATATACAGGGTGATCAAAAAATACAGGGAATGTTTACATGTTGAAAATTCATTCCAGTAAAAAAACATACGGCCATTAATCCACTTGACTTAAAACATACTTATCCCGTCATTCTTGCCACTTTCTGAAGCAGGTAGTTCTGGACGTTCTCTTTCCTGAATATCTTTATCAGATGTGATAAAAAAAATATGATGAATGCTACTCCTTACTACCACCCAGTGGAAAGGGACGCTTGTAAGAATGTCTGTCTTATTCACTGGATCTGGCACTATCCAAATTCTGGCTCTTCCTCAAAGACAAAATGACCACGAAAAGTATATGTTTGGAATTGATTCATGACCTCGAGGCAGCCATGACAATGCAGCTAAAAACACTCTACTCGCAGTATAAGACTCCTAGCACCGCTTCAGAAAGTGGCAAGAAGGATGGGATAAATGTGTTTGAAGTGAGGGTATTATTTTGAGGGGCATCAATGGCAGTGTCTTTTATTGTAATAAATGTTCAAATCTAAACATTTACTGTATTTTTTGATCACACTTCATATGTACTTTGCTTTGATATTGCCAAATTCTCCTTTATGTATCTGGTGTCATCTACATTATCACCAGTAGTGTTTGTTAGTATCTGTGTACAAGCCTCACAAATAGTATATATCGTTAAATGTTTGGATTTTTGCTAGCCTGATAGGTGAGAATGAGCAAAATCACACATTTCTTCTAAGGGACAACTGTTTTCACATATTTTGGCATTTTTCTGTTGAGAATAGTTTTAAACAGGTGACATCTTATGGATTTCAACTTGGACTCTTTCGAGTGATGGGGTTTTATTTGTATTTTTAAAAATTTTTTTGTACCGGGGATCAAACTTAGGACTTTGTGCTTGCAAGGCAGGCAGTGGCACCACTGAGCTAAATCCTTGGCCCATAATGGGGTTTTAATTTTACTTCTAGGATCATTATAATTTCAAGTATAGATTAAGGTAAACTTTTCATGCCAATCTTTGTGTCTTATTCATCTTCTTGTTGCCGAGACACAGTAGCTGACACCCACAAATGTGAGGAGAGATGTATTTGGGCTCCCAGTGTGTTAAGTTTCAGTCCATAGTTGATTGGTTCCAGGATGGCATGGCAGAGGGGCATGGGGGACAGGAAGCAGAGAATCAGGGCAGGAGCCAGGAAGGGAGATGCAGCCTTTGTTGGCATACCCACAGAGACCCCCCTCTTCTGCCGGCCTCACTTCCTAACAGCAGTTATCCAAGTTCTTTGGATTTCTTATCCTTGGAAATGTTTGGAAGGTTCTACACCTTCCAAAGGTCCCGTCTATGATAGCATGAGGCTTTAGGGGGACATGTAGATATAAATCATAAAACTTTTATCATTTCATAGTGTTAGGTGGTAGTTAACACAATCCCATACATTTTCAGTAATGATGTTTTGAAGATCAAGTGTGAGTCATCTTTAAAATACTTGAGTTTTTAAAACTCTGATAATGGGAATGATAGGAATACAGAAGGAATAAACTTCAGCATTAAGATGATATCTTCAGCATCTTTTTTTTTTTTTTGAAATTGAACTTAGGACCTTGCTCTTGCAAGGCAGGCGGCGGCACCACTGAACTAAATCCCCGGGCCAGCATCTTCTTTTTTATTAATTTTATGACAGGAAGATTAAAGCACAATTATAAACATCGATGTATTAAAAAACCCTAAATGTTAAAAAATAGAATTATTTATTTTACAAATGTTAATTGAGAAAAACTTTTTGTCTTAAGGATTTAAGACAGACTTAATAGAGTTCAGGGTTTGGTGATAACATGTTTTCTGTGAAACTTCAACAAGCTTTCATCTAAGGAATATAAAATTTTATTCTTTAGGGAAAGGTCCTGGAAAAAGGAGAGGCCCGACAATCAAGATATCTGGAGTTCAGGTTAATGTGAAATCCATTATCCAACACGAAGAAGAGTTTGAAATGTTGCATAAATCTATCCCTGTGGACCCTGAAGAAAAAAAAAGGTGAGTGTTTTGTGTACATGCATGGACGATACACGCTGGAGCTTACAATTGCGTGGTGTCATTGTCTCTTATAACATCAGAAAGGTCCCTTTGTAATGCCCTTCTGTTTGAAACCTCTAGATACTGCCTAACCTGTCGGGTCAAAGCTGCACACTTTGATGTAGAGTGGGGAGTGGAGGATGACTCTCGCCTGCTGCTGGGAATTTACGAACATGGCTATGGAAACTGGGAGTTAATTAAGACAGACCCAGAGCTGAAACTGACCGACAAAGTAAGTAGCTCTGCTAGCGATTTCTAAAAGATGTGTTGTATACTATTTTTACCTCAATTACTTGTTTTTAACTCTTTGAGAAGGGGAGATGAGATTGGATAGTAATACAGTAGAAGTTCCTGGGATTTATTATCCTTGGAAGTGTTACCATCTTTGGTGGACTGTTTCATGGACAATAAAAAGAGAGACAATAACCAGGTGAAATTTTGGGATAATTCTAGGAGAAATCTTAAAATTCTCATACTTATTCTAGGTCAGATCTCATTACAACAAATACCAGGGTAAATTTATTAATAACAGCATTCGTTGGCCTTCGTTTTTGGCCATTTGTTTAAAAGTGCATTTGAAATAACCATATTTCAGTTCTACACACAAAGAATGAGCATCACCTTGGTATTTTTGTAGTGGAATTAAATTGTGCTTCTCCCACAAAATCGAGCCTCCCACCCTATCTGCTGCAAGTAACAAGGCCGTGGTTAGAGCTATAAGCAAGGAAAGCTGACTGACTCAAATTTAGTTGGATTCGCTCCGTGCTGTGCTCCTAGCAGGGCTTTCCCTGGCACGTCAGAGTATGCTCATCCCATCTGGGTGTAGGAGGGTGACAGCACCCTGCCACGAGCACTGAGACCAAATGCAGTCTGGCCCGAGCAGTCCAGCTGTGGTGGCAGGGACTGGATCCTGTCCTGGCATAGCTCAGTTCTCTCCGGCAATGCTCTAAGAAGCATTTTCAATCTAAAACAAAGCTTTAACCTAGCTCCAGGGATTCCCTGCTCCTGGAAGGAGGAAATCCACGCCGGCTGGGATGCTCTAGCAGATGAAGCCACAAGCCCCTCCTACCTGAGTTGTTCTACCCTGTTAACAGCACAGGTAGGAGCCAGTGGGAGAGCTGGATTTCTCCATCCCATTTTGTAAAACGAGAAAGGCTCATGAGGGATTTTCAGTGACTGGGAGCCATGAACATGAGAATAGGATCTGAGGCTTTATCTGTGTTTTGGGTGGTAGGGGAGGGAAAGGACAGTTCTGAGATCTTTGTTGTGTTTATTCTGATTCACTAACCAGGGTGTGGGTGGTGGCGGGTGCTTCTTTCCCTTTCCTGTCGAAGATTCTGCCCATGGAGACAGATAAAAAGCCTCAAGGGAAGCAGCTACAGAACCGAGCGGACTACTTGCTGAAGCTGCTAAGGAAGGGCCTGGAGAAGAAGGGGGCCGTGGCGGGCGGGGAAGAGGTGAGTACGCTGCAGCTGGGTGTTCTTCAGGGGCTGTGGCTCCATCACTGCAGAGCTGGGGCAGAAGAGACGCCCTCTCTGGGCACTGTGCACAGCACTGCCTGGTCATGGCTCTTACTGATTTGCAAGCTTCATGATGATGGTTTGGCTGGTAAGAGTAGAAAGACTCATTTAATAGTTAACCTCGACGCCTTGGCACCTTTCTTCCAAATCCCATTTTCTTCAGATATTGCCTCAAAATAATCCTCATTTCTCACCATTGCCACTGATCCAGATGTACCGATACTGTTTTTGGCTCCCTCAGTTTTGGAACATGATTCCAGTTAGTGTTTAAATACCTAAGGGTTTGCCTATTGTTAGATTTAAGTGGGCTGCTTGTGCTGGGGGATCCCAGCAGTATAATGGACAATTGGAATCCATAGTTTATTTCAGAAACTGGACTTAATTATGATTATCTTATTGACTCAGTGGAAAATGCTGACTGAGTTGCTAATGAATTCATCTGAACTCTATCCCCTTTTGTTTCTCCCACTTACTAGCTCAGGGCAGGCCTAGAAAGATGGGTGTTGCAGTTAGGAGATACTGTAAGCTGTGTTCCGTACTGGCAGCCTTTGTGTGTGCATGTCCCTCAAGTGCGCTCAGGCTTTGTCGCCTGTATTAGTTGCCTTGTATGAATCAAAGAAATTTTATTTAGAAAGGTCACCACAGTCCCGTTCCTTGGTGTCTTTTGAATAATAATGTCTTAAGGACTTAGTATCATTCTTCAGAGAATGTGGTGAGTATGTTACATATTAGGTCCAGGAAGACAGATTGGATCATGTTTATACTTATTTTAGATCACTTTATTATATTTGATTTAGTAGATAAACTATTTTAACCTTTTCCTTATTTTAAGATGTAGTTTGTTTCCAGGTTTTTTCAGTTTATCATCTTTAATGTTATTTTTAATTGTAACTTTATACATAAAGTATTTTCCTCCCCTTTTTTTAAATTTTAGGTCTCGGATGAGATGAATTTTAGGTTTGGGGATAAATTTCAGCCTTATTCATACCCAAACCCAGAAGCAATAGTTTCAGGGAATACAGATGTTTTTGTGTGGTTTAGGATACAGATAGGGCCTACAGGGTTTATTTTCTTTTCCTCCAGATAAATTTGGTTGCCCTCTTGATTTTGCTGAAAAAAAATTTTTTTTTTTTTGGTACCAGGGATCAAACTCACAACCTTGTGCTCGCAAGGCAGGCGTGGTGGCACTGAGCTAAATCCCTGGCCTTCTCTGAATTTTCTTGTTTTGAATTACATGGATGCTACTCCTTCACAGCGTCAAAATGTTACTTGGTTATGCTTTTGAAAAAAGTCTTCATTTGTAGTTTTATCATCCTTTTCCTTTTCTTTCCAGGCCAAATTAAAGAAGCGGAAGCCTCGAGTAAAGAAGGAAAACAAAGCACCCAGATTGAAAGATGAGCATGGAGTTGAGTTTTCCTCACCCAGACACTCAGATAATCCATCAGAAGAGGGAGAAGTGAAGGTATGAGCTGATTTCGTTGGGGGTCTTGTCCTTATATTTTAGCTCTCTTGTGCCAACAGGTATAAAGTCCCATGATGTGTTTGGTTCACATGTAGACTAGATAAAGTATACTGTGTGTATCTTTGCTCAGTCTGTCAGAGAAGAGTGTAGTGTTCATTTAAGTCAGCAATTACAAATTCATACATAATGTCAGTAAGTAATGAGAACCACGAAAATTTTAGTGATAAATGGCTATTGACACTTAGCTTCAATTTTGGGAGGGGGAGCTGTGGAGCTCATGCCTAATAGGAAGACGGTAGCTACCAAGCAGTTTAGTGGATCCAAACAAAAGTCCTCTGTGGGTCAGGTTTGGCCCAAGTCCTACCAGGGTTTTATGTATGTATGTATGTATGTATGTACTGGGGACTGAACTCAGGACCTTGTGCTTGCGAGGCAGGCGTGGTGCCACTTATTTATTTATTTTTGAGACAAGGTCTCCCTATGTAGTTCAGGCTGGTCTTGAGCTCACTGTGTAGTCCAGGCTGGCCTTGAACTTGTGGCGATCCTCCTGCCTCAGCCTCCCAAGTGCTGGGACTATAGGCAGTGCCATCACAACCAGCTCTACCAGTTTTTAGCCTCTGGTTTTGAGTTAAATGAAAAGTAAATCGGTGTCATTGAATGTGTTGTTTCAGTGAGATGCAACCTTATGGGGTTTTATTTTGTTGCTCTTAAAGTGTAGCTGTACATTTAGATTAGCTCCAAGAGGGTCAGCATGGGGGGAAGGAACTAGTATGGATTTGAGTCTACATGGACGAACTCATAGACTAATAATCTTACCAGTTACTAGCTGACTGGATAGAGATACAGTCTCTTCAGCCTCAGTTTTTTTCTGTGTATGAAATGGGAATGATAATGCCTTTTCAGGTGGGGTGCAGTGCTGGTGATCAAACTCAGGGCCTTGCACATACTAGGCAAGTGCTGTACCACTGAGCTATACTTCTAGCTTAATAATGCCATTCTTAAAGCATTGCTGTGAAAACTAACTGAGGTTACATAAATAAAGCGCATCTGCCTGTGTAGGCTTAACTGCTAGTTAATACTAGAGAGTTGAGAATTGTGCATGTGGGTGTTTATGTTTTGTGTTTGGAAACAATTTTCTAGAGACACAATGAGCCATTGGGGGCAGTGCTACTTTTTCCAGAAAGTAAATAAGTAAATATAAAGTTCATAGCAAATATTCATAGCCCTATTTGTTTCCTAGGATGATGGCTTAGAAAAAAGTCCAGTGAAAAAAAAACAGAAGAAGAAAGAGAACAAAGAGAACAAAGAGAAACAAATGAGTTCCAGGAAAGACAAAGAAGGGGACAAAGAAAGGAAGAAGTCAAAAGATAAGAAAGAGAAGGTATTGATGCCATTTTACCTACAGAGATACCCAGAGGTTAGAAGGTCCTGTTTAGATTTAGAAATAGAGTGAGGTTTGAGTACCCTGATATAATTGTTATGTGAGTTTATTCAGCAAGGAAGGGTGGAGCCTTATAGGGCTGCCTGCACCCTTCCTTGCAGAGACAGAGGGAGAATTTTGCAACTTTGTGGCGTTCTTTAGCACAAAAGGCCTTTATTTGATCTTTTATTGCCTGTTGCGGGGAGAGCTGTGGTGTTCAGAATGAGATAGGACAGGCATAAGAAGGCCCACGTACAGGTATCTACTTGGCGTACGTTGTTAGATTCGTGTTAGAGGAGCACAATCCACAAATGGATTTGGATATTTAAAGGGTTTAGGATTCCAAACAGATATTTTCCAGAGTGACTGGAATACACGTGGATAAAAAGCCTTGGTATTACAAAGACTTCATGTTGGGAGTTTTATGAAGTTCATTTCCAAGCACAGAATTGGTGCAGTATTGCGTGTTTGCTTGGTGACTTCTAAAAACAAATTTTGCAATTAATCTTTGCCAAAATGAACAAATATAAATCTGCTGTAATTCTCCCATCCAATGATAATGTTTGATTTCTTATTGAGTGGCTTTGAAACGTTGCTCTTTTTTTGTTTTTTGTTTTTTTGGGTACCGGGGATTGAACTCAGGACCTTGTGGTTTCGAGGCAGGTGCTGGAACCACTGAGCTAAATCCCCAGCCCTGGAACGTTACTCTTAATGAGTTTAGGTACAAATATAAAATTAAAATAAGATGGGACCATTTGGGTACCCTTTTCTCCCCACTGAGCAGTGTATCATAAACAGCTTTCCAAGTTGATAAGTAAATGTTGAGATAATTTTTAATGGATAGGATTTTGTTTTGGTGCAACATATTGCAAACAGCATAAATCTCCTGTATTGAAATTGCTTTCCAATTTTTATTGTTGTAAACAGTACATACTGTTACACATACCTTTGCATTTTTGCTCCTGCAGAAAGACATTCTTGCCAGGCATATTGACTCACACCTGTAATCCCAGCAGTGTAGAAGGCTGAGGTAGGAGGATCCCAAGTTCACCCCAGGCTGGGCGATAGTGACCTAGTCAAGAACATAAAAAATAAAAGGGCTGGGGTTGTAGCTTAGTGCAGAGGCCTGGGTTCAATTCCTAGTATTTGCCCTACATCTTATCCCTCCGAAAAATCCTTTCTTTTTTTAAAGTGAAATATTTGAGCAATAAAGGCACAAAAACAGTTCAGCAAACATCTGTTATTTACTGCTCCGATATTACCAATGTTTGTATTTTTTTCATGGTTACGTCAGCTGGCTTTTTTGCTGAGCAATGTATTTTTGTATTTCATAAACACATTAGTAACTGCTGAAGCTCTCATCATTACTGTTCTTTTGTGACTTCATTACGCCTTCCCTCTTCTCCTATTCCACTACTCTGAAGTTGGTGTGACACTTTTCTATCCATGCTTTCATGCTTATAAAATTCATACTAGGGCCAGGGATTTAGCTCAGTGGATCTGCCACCTGCATCGCAAGCTCAAGGACCCGAGTTTGATCCCCGATACCAAAAAAAAAAAAAAAATTCATACCATATAACCACAAAGCATACAACATGCTGCATGTTTTTAAATGCTCCTACATGAAGTTGTTGTATATATACTTCTCCAACCTTTTATTGTTTAATTTTGAGATTTGTCAACGTTGATTCATGTAGATTTCAGTCACTTACAATAATTTAGTGAATACTATAAATTTCTAGATCAAGGATAAGCTGTTAATAAAAATGACTTACATGATACTTTAGAAGTTCTGCCAGTTTGCAGTCTTAACCTCTTGGTGACATTTTTGTGCATTTTCTAGATGAAAGAATAGAAGGCCCCAAGTAGTGTCGATGAAATTGAAGTTACAGTTATGTACATTTAGAGGCAGAAGTGGGGAATATGTATAAGTAAGCTGTTAATCTCATAGGTTTGTATAAAGTGAAGCTTTCATATTTACCCTCTGTAACAATGCAACAGCTAAGAAGTAGAGATTGCAAGGCAAGATTGCATAAGTGACAATGACTCCTTGTAACTTTTTTTTAAAAAAAGCCTAAAGGTGGTGATGCCAAATCTTCAAATAAATCAAAGCGATCTCAGGGTCCTGTCCATATTACAGCAGGAAGTGAACCTGTCCCTATTGGAGAGGATGAGGATGATGATCTCGACCAGGAGACCTTCAGTATTGTAAGTCTGAAGTGTGGGCATGCTGGGGTCTGCACCATTGTGCTTGCTGTACTGCTGCCCCTTGAAGATGGAGCCAGAGCTTCGGGGAATATGTGTGTTGGTATATTTTTTTGGAATCACATCATTTCGGGTGCCTAAAGACAGTTCTGAACCAGGTTGGCAGAAAGAGATTTTCTTACTTGTTCTCTAGTGAGGAAGAAGTTAGGGACCCGATTTCATGTCTTGTGTTTGCAGTTGAAATGCCTCAGAGGCATTTTGGAATCAGGAGTATTCACTGAGCTAGCACTTAATGAGTGTTTTCCATACCAGCCTCCAGCATTACCATGCTGAACAGAAGAAAACTATCTTTGTAGACTTGACATTTGCATAGGGGAGAGCGCTAACTGCATAAATCATGTTGGTGCTCCTGTGATGGGGGTGTGGAGGTGGAGGCCCTGGGAGAAGGGGATTTGACTGAGTCAGCAAGGGTCAGGAAGGCTCAAGGAAGTTGTTTGAATTGGATCTGGGAGGAAGAGTAAAAGGTAACAGGACAAGAGGGCGGGGAGAACAAGCCTAAGGCCAGACAGCAGTGTGCACAAAGGCTGTGTGGCAGGAGCACTTAGAGTCCATGCATAGATTTATTTGTGCTGCTGTCCTCCATGCCCTGCCCACCCCTGTGTTCTCTTCTGCCCAGACTTCCTAAGACCACACTTCCCTAGAACAGCACATCAGGCTGAGAGAGAAACTGTCTCCTTAAGTGGAAAATACTTCTGCCTGTGGCAGCAAGCAATAGACTGTTGACCCTGTCCTGTGGTGTAGCCTCCTCTCTCTCGGCTGCCTTCTCTGTATTCTCTAAAACCTCCATGCTATGTGTGTATATTTCTTTGTGATTATTTCAGTTTGCACAATTCTCTTCCCTATGAGCTTTCTGAGGGCAGGTATTGTGTTTTGTACGTTGTCCATTTAGGTGCTGGAAGTATATCAGTCAGTGAGTGAATTGCGTAAATGAATACATTCATTATATAGCCAGCTGTCTGATCTGTTTCCCAATTCCTCCACAGTTCATTGTTTATAGAAGAAAATAATACTTGATACTTCTATGGCACCATTTAAAAAAATGTACATATTTATAAGCCAGGCACAGTAGCATGTGTGCATAGTCCCAGCTACTCAGGAAGCTAAGGTAGGAGGATTGTTCTTGATTATTGAGCCCAGGAGTTTGAAACCACCCTGAGTAAAATAGCAAGAACTTGTCTCAGGCAATCAATATAGGGTCATTTAATCTTGTTTGTATCTTTTTATTCTTGTTTGTATATTAATGAAATCTTTAAAAATACAGATAAATTTCCAGGGATGTAATAGGCGTTGGTATAGATGTTGTGAAGTTTTGTCTCATCTGAAGTTTTTATTACTTCGTATAGGGTTGAAGCCTCTGGTATTTCTTACTCTAAACCCATTTTCTTTCTTTGTTACCTCCCCGAAGTAACCATGATTCTGAATTTGATTGTTACGCTTATGTGTCATTTTAGATATTTACTACTTACCTCTGTTTGGCTGGGCCCGCGTAAACAGCCAGGCACTGTTTGTGTGCTTTGGGTGTGTACAACAGTCTTTGAGGTGGCTTATCTTCACTTTACATATTAAAAAATAAGGTGAGGGCTGGGTATTTAGCTCAGTGTTGCCTTCGCCTGCCTCTCAAGTGCATGGTCCCAAGTTTGATCCCCTGTACCAAAAAAAAAAAAAAAAAGTGAAAGCTTGAGTCTTTAACCACTGTGCCACGTAGCCTCCCATGTCTCCATAAACAACAAAGAGCATTGCTTTCTATATTTTAAAACCATACAAGTGGTAGGGGCTGGGGATTTAGCTCAGTGGTTCCGCTGCCTGCTTTGCAAGCGCAAGGACCCGAGTTCGATCTCCGGCACCAAAAAAACCCCCCCAAAAAACCCCCATACAAATGGTACACTACTTGTACACTGTAACTTGCTTTCCCCCTCACATTTTTGTTTTTGTTTTTTTGACATAGGGTCTCACTAAGTAGCTGAGGCTGGCCTCAACTCACAGTGATCCTCCTGCCTCGGCCTCCCGAGTGCTGGGAATACATGTGTGCTCCACCATGCCTGGCTCCCCTTCTCATTTTGAGATTTATCCAAGTTATAGTATACATGGCTATGAATTAAATACTTTCTGTTACTCTTATTTTATGACTTCCATAATTCATCCTTATTTCTGTAGGTGGACATTGGGGTTTCCCCAATACTTACTAACACAGATAGGCTGCAATGAGATTATTGCAGGTGTTTTCTTGTGCTCCTGTGTGGAGGCTTCTGTATGGTATGTGGCTGGACCAGAAATGCTAGGTCACCCATAGGTGTGCACATCTAGTGTGTGGGTGGTGTGTCTTTATTTTGAGTCCTTTTTTATACTTGAAATTTAACACTGAAAAATGCATAGATCATAAGTGTGTAGCCATGGGAGTTAACCACAAAATGATAGAAATTTGTAGAATTTTCAGTGTTACAAAATTTAATGATCATGTATACTGTGATTGTGCTAGCTACTCAGTGGCTGATGACCATATCCTACAATTCTGAGAAATTTTCTTGAATTATTTTGTAATAATTATGCCTTCCCTAAGTCCTCAGTTTTGTCTTTATGCAGTTCTTTGTTTTGGGCTGTTAGACCCTGGATATTAATCTCTAATTTTGTCTTTTTAAACTTTCCATTTTGCTTTTTTACTTTCTGGGAGATTCCCTCAACTTTTATTCCCCTTATTTCTTCTGAATTTTTCATTTCTTTTGTTATGTTTCATTTCTAAGATCTTCCCCCCTTTATAGTTCTTTAAATATTTTTATGCTTCTCTTTGTTTCCTATCATTCATGTTAGAAACTTTCCTCAGATGTCTTTGGCAATCCTCAGTTGCTCCTCGTGTCTTAAGAATTTGGGACTAAACATTTATTTTGGACACACCAAGCCAGTGGGTGGGGTTTTGATTGCTTACACTCTAGGGGATCTAGCTAAGCTGCTTCATGGGAAAACTTCCATTGAACCAGAGTTGACTTTTTTGGTTCACCCTGAAGGCCTGGCCTGCTTCATTCTGCAGTCTGAGAGCTGGGTGGTGGTTCATGCAGTGAGCATTTGATCCTATAATCCTCTTTTCACCTTGGGTGTCCTTGCCCTTCACCCATGTAGGCCAGCCAGCTCAGAGCCTTTTCTTTTGCCCCCTCTAAAGAATGAGCCTTCATTATCTGTTGGTGGGTGCATTTATGGGCGGCCCGTGTCAATTCTGAATCTGGGACTTTGTTACTTCTTAAGCAGTGTTTAAACTAGTCTTTCTCTGGTAACCCTCATCCCTATTTCCAGAAACATCTGGCCTTTGGGGGAATTTTATAGCATAGATCAGGTTGCCTCTGTGGCTTAGGAATTCATTTTCTCTAGTCTATTAAGTCATCTCCCATGTTGCTAGGTACTTTGTTGCTATTGTTTTCTTTATAGGCTTAGCCCTTTCAAAGACAGTTTCTTTACTCAGCTTGTTTTAGTGGGGTTGGGAGGAGAAAGAAAAAGATTCTTGTGGTTAGTGTACTGTCTTTTATCTGCAAGCCCTTTCTTTACTGTCTTTCAAAGCTAAACGATTTGTTAATGTTTCACCCTGCATGCTGTATTTAGATAGTTCATGGCAAGAGGTTTTCAGGTTAGGCTTGTAATACCATGTCCCATTTGACCTTCATAATTGCCTTGTGAGGCATTACTTGGGCCCCCTGCAGATGAGGAACAGGGTTTCAGACTCTGAGGAGCCTGAGGAGTCGCTGTGTAATTCTAAGTGATGCCCGAAGCACTAGTGTGTCAATTTTCTAAGTCTGATACTGGACTTATTCCATCCCACAGGCCGTACCTGCTCTCCGTTGTACTGATTATGTGGCACGAGGGTGGTGGTGTTTTGTCTGAGGGTGGGTGATCAGCATGTGACTCATGTCTGTGCTCTGTTGGTCTGTTCCAGTGTAAGGAGAGGATGAGGCCAGTGAAAAAGGCACTGAAACAGCTGGACAAACCTGACAAAGGACTTAATGTACAAGAACAGCTCGAACACACACGGAACTGCCTGCTGAAAATTGGAGACCGGATAGCCGAGTGCCTTAAAGCCTACTCAGACCAGGAGCACATCAAACTGTGGAGGAGGTAAGTGACCTTGGCCTCCAGTCCTGCCCAGTTTAGTATATGTGCCGTTGGAGCGAGCAGTCTGCCCAGTTGAATTTGACAGTGTCTGGGTGGGTTTTATTTAATAAGAGGTGGCAAAGCTACCTAATGAAAATCTTTTTCCCAACAAAATTCATCTAGTATCAGCATACCTGCAGGTGTCAACTTTTTCATGAACTAGGCCATTCCACTGAAACCAGCCTTTTGAAGGAGTGGGATGATGATGTTAATGTCATCTGTAAGAGAAAGATAGGGACGCTGGATTTGTGGCTTGCTCTCAGAAGACTCTGTCTTTATATCTGTAAGGGATAGAAATGATCTCGTGTAATTACTTAACTGCCTCGAGTTGATATTCAGATGTTATTATACCTACTATACAACTCATTGGTTGGTTCTGTACCAATATATAAGGTAAAACAAAGATTAAAGCCACAAAGAACTATCCTTCTTCCTTAATGGTTAAAAAACCAGTAGTAAATTGGATCAATGTGTAGTTAATCTAGAACTTTAGTTTGTAAGGCATGGTTTTTATATATGTTTATTTTTACAGTTTGTTGTGTATCTGAGATCCTTGGGACCAGACCTTTTTCAGATTTTAGAATATTTATTCCTATTTCATAAAGTATCTTTGGGGATGGGATCCAATTCATATTTGTGTTACACACATAGCCTGAAGGTGATCTTAGCGCTATATTTTTAGTGCACCTGCATTTTGATAGTGACCCTATCACATGAGGTCAGGTGTGGAATTTTCCACTTTGCCATCAGGTCAGCACTAAGTGGCTCAAGATATTCAGATCAGAGATGCTCAACCTCACTTTTGATATTTTGAGAAGACATGACTGGCGTTTCTAAAAGACAGTTGTAACGTGAGGTTTCTTTCCATGAACCTCAGCTACTTTGCACCCGTGCACTTAATGTTCAGTGAAATTACCTTTCTTCATCCAGTTCATTTAAACTGTGGTCTCACTGTGTAGCCCGGGCTGGCCTTGAGCTCAAGATCGTGTTGCCTCAGCCTCCTGAGTGCTAGGATTACAGGTGTGGGCTACCATGCCCAGATTGGTTTACAAAATGAAAAATGGATTTAAGAAAAGTTCTCTATAGCTGTCATGAGGCTCCTGTTATGAAGCTGTCTTTAGCGTGTGTCACACCCAGAAATAAAATCGTTTTTGAAATGCTATTTCTTTTTTTTTTTTTGTATTAAATTCTTTTATTGGTACATTGTAGGTATACAACACAATTACATTTCTCATTGGGAATTGTACTTTTACATAATGCATCTTGGTTCTTATTTTTTCCCCATTCCTAGCCCTCCCTTCATGCCCTCCACCCTTCCCTATTTACAAAGACTTTATTTCCATTTTTTCGATTTCTCATCATTTTTCCTTTCCCTTCTTTCCTTTCCCCTGCCCCTCCCACTACCCCTACCCCTTTGGACCTTTTCTTCCTATTTTACATTATCGATTATTCATTCTAATCATTGGTACATTTTAGGTATACAATATAATGACATTCATCATTGGAAATTTGCACCTTTACGTAGTCTCTCTTGGTTCTTATTTTTCACCCTTGTCCGGCCCTCCCTTCAACCCTTCCAGTCCTCCCTATTTACAAAGATTTTGTTCCTATTTTTCCAATGAAATGTTATTTCTTCTTAGCAGTGTTAGCAGCTTCTTCCTTTACCTAGAACATACGGCTTCCTTTTTACCCGAATAGAAGACAGCAAAGTATCCTCCTAGTGCATAGATTCATGAAGCCAGGCTTCCTAGTGTGCACGTGGGTCTGTCTGTGTGGCCTGCCTGGGACCTACCCCAGGCACTGTGATATTTGGCTTTGGTTGTGATACTTGATCATGGCTAGCAGTAGGTCATATGAAAGTCCTTAGGAGTCAGAAATATTATAAGGTAAGACTTCTGGGAGACTGGCCATCACAAGTGATAAATGCAAGATCAAATACACAGATTCCCAGAAGATGCCTGCAGAAGGGTAGTCAGGGAGGGAGGTCTTCTGAGAGGCAGGCAGGTCCACTTGAGCTGCTCGTGGACAACCTGGTGGAACTGCTTGGATGAGCAGGGCTCTCAGGCTTCAGGAAAGGTTTGAAAGTGGAACAGTGAGGAGCTGGATGTGTTGGCATATGCCTGTAATCCCAGCACCCAGGAGGCTGAGACAGGAGGGTTTGAAAGTTGGAAGACAGCCTAAGCTACAGAGTGAGTTCAAGGCTAGTGTAACTTACACAGTGAGACTTGGTCTCTGAAAAACATAAAACCTGCAACCCCATCCCCAAGGAAGGAAAAAGGGACAGTGACAATGGGAGGTATTTAGGACTTAAAGGGAATAATTTGTTCAAAAGACTAAAGCTCTTTATAGGAGGCCTTAGCAAAGTAAATGGCTTTCCACCTGACACAGTAGGTTTGCAGTTAGGGGACCTATACAGGTGTCGTCAAGGGCATGGCACGGAGAAACCGCTCATGGGGAAGCTTGAGGTGGTGTGAGACTCTCCCACTCACGGTACCTGCACCTGCTTAGTCCTGTACTTCCCCTGCCGTGCAGTGACGCCATCAGGGAGAACACGGTTGTGTTAGGAGGAGCCACCGAGAGCTTAAGAGAGGAGTAATAGGCCTTGGTGGTGATAACTGGGAGGAAAGAAGGGTGGCGACACAGAAATGACAAGTAAATGGAGGTCCCAGCCTATGAGATAGCACTGAAGATGGATTGTGTGGGGGAGCCCAGAAAATGGGGAAGGAGGAGGAAAACTTACAGATAGTAGCAGATGCCACTGATGTAAATGGGGGTGGGGGCCGGCGGCAGGCAGTGTTGGCTGTTGACAGAACCCGATTCTCAAGGCCTTTTAATCCAGTTCTTTTGATAGAAGTGTAAAAGGTGCATTATTGGTGCAGAAACTTGAGAATGTTCACATAACTTCAGTTTCTACCCGTGGAGCATATTCCACAGCAAAATTTAATAGCTTGGCATGCATAAAGTGAGTAAAAAATTACTGCATTAATCTCTAATTTACCAGGACTGTTAAATTTTTTTTTTTTAGAAACCTATGGATTTTTGTTTCCAAGTTTACCGAATTTGATGCTCGAAAACTACATAAGTTATACAAGATGGCTCATAAGAAAAGATCTCAAGAAGAGGAGGTAAATTCAGATTTAATCCTACTTGTTGGTTTTCCAGGAGCAGGGATTGGTCATAGGATCGTGGGTTGTCACTGCTTGCTTTACAGATAGAGGAGCAGGTCCAAGTGAGGTAATGAAAGCTACCCCCAGATCACAGTGTGTGGTCTGCAGCCTCTCTTCTCTTCTATAGTGTGCTTTGCACTTCTTTAACTGGAGAGTTTCTCAGCATAGTCCCTAGGTACTCACAGGGCAAGACTACCACCTGTTGGGTAAAGTAGGCAGTACATCAGAGCCAGTGTGTTCTTATATCCTGGATTCATTTATTCACCAGGCCTCCTCTTCCATGTGCACATGCCTTACAGTAGCTTGAAAATGTGGCTCCTAACAGGTGACAGGATTGTGAGCAGAAAGTACTTTTCCTGTTCTTTTCTGGGCCGTGTACTTGCTGTCCTCCAAATGTTTGTATTTAGAGGGGTCCCAGCTGCTCCCTTAAAGGAGCAAACATGAGAAGGTGCCAGAGGTGCTGAAGGGACCTGCTGCAGGCCATGGCGGCGTGCAGATCTGCTGACTTGCTGTGTGGACCCCGTGCAGAGCACCCGTGTAGGGCCAGTCCAGAACACTGATGTGTCAGCTCCATGGAGGCAGAGATTCTGTCTCATCCCCTGCTGTGGCCTGAGTGCCTGGAGTGGGGGCTGGGGCAAGATCAGAACTTGGATGTATTTCTTGTGTGAACTTAAGCTATGCCCAGTGCTCTGCTAGCTTAGGAAGCAATACCCTCAGGTAGTTTACAGTTTAACACAAAAGAATATGCTATAGCAGTATTATACAGGAATAATGTACTAATATTACTGTTAATGCAGAATTTATACATTGTAAAAAAGGTCTCTGAGGAGAAGCCAGAAAAGGGAACAAAAGAGTTGGGAAAGATCCTTAGACAGGAGTGAAAGTTAAGGTAAAGGTCTGAAGTTGGCAGCGTAATGGTAAAGGGGTTCATTACTATTAGACGTTAATGATTTAAAAAATAGTGATGTCCTACTATTGGGTATAAATTGTCATAAAAGTTTTGGAGGATAGTTTTAGAGATAGTTCAAAAAATAACATATAATTCAGCTTTTAACTGTTTAATTTAAGGGGATAGTTAAGGATTTAAACATGTTTATAATGGAAATGACTTAGAAGGCCAATAATAAGAAATAGGTTAGGGGCCTGGGATTTAGCTCAGCGGTTTCACCGCCTGCTGCGCAAGCACAAGGACCCGAGTTCAATCCCCGGTACCAAAAAAAAAAGGGCCAGGGATTTAGCTCAGTGGTTCTGCCTGCCTTGCAGGCACAAGGTCCCAAGTTCGATCCCTGGTACCAAAAAAAGAAAAAAAAGAAATAGGCTAAATAGATTGTGGTATACCAGATGGGAGTACTACTTAACTATTCAATGTAATATTACAGAAATAACTGCTTACATGGGATGATTTTTGCAAATATATTAAGTGAAAAAAGACAATACTAAATAATATTTTTGTATTACTATCTGTATAAACATACAAAAAGCTTAGAGAAATAGGGACCTTATTATTATTATTATTATTATTTATTTATTTATTTATTTAGGTACCGGGGATCGAACTCGGGTCCTTGCGCTTGCGCAGCAGTTGGCGAAACCACTGAGCTAAATCCCCGTCCCTGGAGCTAATTATTCACAGTTATTTTCATGGTGATTAGATTTTAGGGCACTTTACACTTCTGTTTTTTCATTTTTTGATGCTTTTATATTGAGCATTTTACTTGTGTGATGAAAGAGTGAAGTTACTCCAGTCTTTTGCTCTTTACCTTGATGATTTGGTGCAGGAACTAGTTTGCCCTGGGAGATCCGGGATTGCTCTAGGTGGTGGGAGACTTGGCAGTCCTGGTTTCGCATGGTCCTAGCTGGTCCTGTGAGATGCTGACAGCTTGGTCCCTGGTGCCATCATGCTCAGGGGCTCTTGCCTGTCCTGCCTGCATTCTCACCAGTACTTGCCATTGGAGACTGGTTTTCCTGCTAGGACCTAGTAGGTTAAACTCAGCTAATGGATCACTGTTAGGCTTAAGAGCTCCTTGGAAGTGACAGGCATATCTTGTTAAGGTAGTAAAGCTTAGGTCACAAGTCAGGAATGAGAGAGAAATGTTTAGAGGTGAAGGTCTTTATTCTGTACTCAGGAATTAAGCATGGGATCTTGAGATTTTTTTGGTTGTCCTTTACAGGAGCAAAGGAAGAAGGATGACATGATTGGTGGTAAGAAACCATTTCGACCTGAGGCCTCGAGTTCAAGTCGGGATTCTTTGCAATCTCAGTCTCATACCTCGCACAGCCTTCACCCTCAGAAGCCTCATTTGCCTGGCTCCCATGGCCCACAAATGCACGGACACCCAAGAGATAACTACAGTCACCCCAACAAAAGACATTTTAATGCAGGTAGGCCATTAAGTGGAGCTTTAAAAGAAGTGCCAAAAAACGCAGTCATTTCGTTTTCCAAAGACAACAGACAGACCTTTGGGCTTTATTTGTCTCCAAGACTTTATTTTCTTCTCTTTCTTGGTGACATAAAGCCTGAAATAAAGATCCAAAAGACTAACTTTCAGAAGAACATAGATCTCATAAATAAAAGACAAATAATGGTAGATGTAGGGAAAAGCATACATTCTGTGACAGGTAAATGGCTAAAATGCTAATATAAAGAAGCCTTGTTAAATTGGTAACAAAAAGACAACCAAATAGAGAAATGATCAAAGAAGAATGCCTAGAATGAAGAGATAGCCTGCGCAGTGAAACGATATAAAAACCATACATCTGACGAAGTGTATCAGGAGCTCAATAGCAAGAAAACAACCTGATTAAAAATTGGACAAAGACCTGGGTAGGCATTTCTCACAAAAAACGGTGATAAGAGAATTCTGAGATGTTCTAAGGTATAGGATAGAGGGAAGAGAGAGGTAAGAAAAGGTGATTTTTACCTCACAGCTTCACACTTAGCGACAAAGCAAAGTAAAATAGCTGCTCCCTATTCCTTTACTGTATGCTGAAGAATACCCTTCAAGGCCAATTCATATTCTGTTTTTGGAACCAGCCAACCTACCAAGAAACTGCAGAAACTTCTCTTTATGGACAGCCTCCTGTCCTAGGACTTTGCCCATTTCCTGTTGTCCTGCCCCTTTTATCTATAATCAGTGTAGGTTCAGTGTAAGTAGTTTCTCTTCTCCCCAGAATTGTATAATAAAGCATCCTGGCCCTTTAGGTCCAGGGAACTTTTCCAGCTGCTCTCTGGCCATGCTTCTGGTGGTTTAGAGAATTTCTCAGGACCAGCCCTGGGACCTTTTGCCTGGCATCTGTACAGCTCAGTTAACCCTTTCCTTCAGAGACCTCTTAGTTTCAAAAGTTTGATTTAACAGAAGGCATACCAATAGCCAAGAGGTATACAGAAAATGCTCAGCATCACAATTCAAGGAAATATAAATTAAAACCACAATGAGATGCAACCTTACACCTGCTAGAATGGCCATTATCAAAATGCTAACAAGAGTTGGCCAGGATGTGGGGAAAAAAGTAACCCTTGCGGGTCATGGGATTTAAATTAGTACAGCCATTACAGGAAAGGGCGTGGAGGTTCCTAACAACTAAAACTTGCACCAGTGTGTGACCCATGTATCTCACTGGTGTGTGTATATCCAAAGGAAATGAAATCAATGCAGGGAGAAATCAAAGAATATAGGGAATGTTTTAAAAAAATTTATTGCCATAAAGGACACAATGCCATCAGTCTTCCTCAAAATACTGCTCCTCTCTAAGAATACACTTATCCTATCATTGATGGCACTTTCTAAAGTAGTTCTGGAAGTCCTCTTTCGTGTCTTTATGAGTTGTGATAGAAATGCTGCTGGCAAGTACAATCCATAGGAAGGCAGGTTTGTAAAAATAGTATGGCGTGTCTTCATCTACCTTATTCACCAAATTTGGCACTGTATGACTTCTGGCTCTTCTCCAAAATCAAAATGATTGTGAAAGGTAAATGTTTTGAATTGATTCAGGACATCAAAGCAGCTACAAGAGTGCAACTAAAGACATGAGTATTTTGAGGGGGGGTTATCGGCAATGTGTCTTTTACTGTAATAATGTTTTTGAAAAATGTAAAGACACAGTATTTTTTGATCATACCATGTATATTGAAGAGATTTCTGTACTCCTGTGTTTATTGTAGCATGTTTATTCACAATAACTAATATATGGAATCAACCAGGAAATGAGTGGATAAAGAAAATGAGGCAAATGTACGCAATGGAATACTATGCGGCAAAAATGCAATCCTGCCATTTGTAACAAGTGGATGAACCCAGAGGACATGTTCAGTGCCATAAGAAAGGCACAGAAAGACAGATACTATAAGCTTTCACTTCTATAGAGAATCTAAAAAGTTGAGTCAGTGGTAGAACAGTGGTTATCAGGGGCTGAAGAGCCGAGCCCCAGAGTGGATTTGGAGGAAATGATGGTCGAAGGATATAAAATTTCAGTTAGATACACAGAGTAAGTTCAAGAGATTAGTTGTACAAGTGGTGGCTATAGTACAGAACAGTGCTAGGCTGGGGATTTAGCTCAGTAGTTTAGTCGCCTGCTGCGCAAGCGCAAGGACTCAAGTTCGATCCCCAGTACCCAAAAAAAAAAAAGAACGGTGCATTGTCTTCTTGCAGTACTGTTGAGAGATGTTGAATGACCTCACTACAAAAAATAAGTATATGAAATAATGTGTTGGCTAGAATTTAATCATTCCATAATTACATACATTTCAAAACCATGTACATGATAAACATATATGTAATTTTTGTCAAAAATATTTTAAAAATTGTTTTTATGAAACGGTGCTCAAAATTAATAGAGATGGAATTAAAGTTTTGAAGATTTGATTAGAAAAAGAGTAAATATAAAATTCTATAGAGCTTGAGCACTGAAGAAAACATGGACAAAGGTTAGGGATAGGGAATTCCTTTAGAAGAGAAAGTGCACACTGCCAAGACGACCAGCCTTGTTACAGTTTCAGCAGTTTTTTACCCATCCAGATGCTGGCTAGGATGTAGCTCAGTGGCGCCAAGCCTGCCTGGCAAGCACAAGGTCCTGAGTTTGATCCCTGGTACTGCAGGAAAAAAAAAGGAAAAATGCACATTGGTTGCTAGGAGTAGGAATTGTTTTGAGTAGGAAGGTTATAGTCTTTTTAGAAAGTAATCTGAAATATCTAATTGCATAGGCCTTTGACAGCAATAAGCCTTTGGGGATCTGTGAATGGGAAAACAGTTGTGAGGCACAGAAATAAGCTGGGTTTTTAAAAAATTAAAGTTGGAAAAATAAGCAGTAGCAACCATCAAAATCTGTGTGTGTATATGTGTGCACGTGTGTACTTTGATTCATTGAAGTGAAATTCACATAAATGTCTCCATTTGTAAATGAACAATTCACCGTTACTAGTGAACATTCAGAATGTCACACAGCCACCAGTATCTAGCCCCAAAGCTCTGTCACCCCAAATGGAAACCCCATACCATTAAGCAGTATCTCCCCATTTCCCCATCCCCTCCAACCTGTCAGCTGCCAATCTGTATCTGTCTCTATGGATCAGCCTGTTTTGAATACTTTTTTTTGGTACCGGGGATTGAACTCAGGACCTTGTGCTGGCGAGGCAGGCATGGTGGCCCGGAGCTACATCCCCAGCCCTGTTCTGAATATCTCATGTAGTCAGACCCGTACTGTATGTGACCTTTTGTGACCCTCTTCTTTCACTTAGCATGCTTGTAAGGTTCACCCACATTGTAGCATTTATCAGTACTCAGTTCCTTTTTATGGCAGGATAATATTCCATTGCATAGATATACCATGTTTTGTTTATTCATTGATGGACATGTGGATTGTTTGTACTTTTAACTTGTAAACATTTTTTTTTTTTTTTTTTGGTACCGGGGATCGAACTCGGGTGCTTGTGCTTGTGTAGCAGGCGGCGAAACCACTGAGCTAAATCTCTGGCCCTACTTGTAAATAATATCACTGTAGACATTTGTGTTTGTGTGAAAGTATTTTTGAGAGAGAGAGAGAGTGTGTGTGTGTTGATGTTGTGATGCTGGAGATTGAACCCAGGGCTTCATTCATGCTAGGCAAGTGCTCTACCACTGAGCTAAATCTTTAGCCCTGAGTACTTTTGTTTAAGGTACATAATATACCCTGGAGTGGAATTGCTGGTTCACACGATAATTCTGTTTAGCATTTGAGGAACCATCAAACTGGTTTCCATAATTTAAATTTGAAGAATGCATTTATCTGAGCCTCAGAAAGATGTGAAAGCACGTACATGTGACTCTTAATAACTAACCATTACCTTGGGATGCTAATGGAGGGAGATTGGTGGAGAAGTTAGTGACTTGCCCACTGCCTTTTGCTTCACAGTGTACAGTGAGCTCGAATTACTTTTTTTTTTTTGGTACTAGGGATTGTACTCGGGCCCTTGCGCTTTTGAGGCAGGCTGTGGAACTATTGAGCTAATTTCCCGGCCCAAGCTTGAATTATTTTTAAATATAAAAATAAGAAAGGGAAAAATACAGAGTAAGACTTAAAAAGTCTGCTTCAGACATAATATAAAATTTATTTTAAAGGGATTCAAATATTCCATAATAAAGTACATTTCTTTTTGAACTTCAATTCTGGAAGTTTTTTAAAAAACTATGTTGCATTCTTATAAAATTTTCAAGGTTTTTGAAAAAAATTCATTTTCTCCATCTTTTTCCCTTTTCAAACAGTATTAATTATAGTTATTTAAAAATCTTTGATGCCCCCAAACCCCTTTAATATCTAATTATTTTGAGTTTTTCTATTGTGTGCTTTTTTTCTTCGCTTTGTTTTTGGTCATAACAGAGTTGTCCTTTGACATGCATAGTTATTTTTGCCTGAGTAGGGAAGGAGGTTTTCCACAGCTTGGAGAAGCCTCAGGTGACTGCTCCTCCCCAGAGGACTCAGCCCCTCCTTTCCTGGGCCTGCGGAATGGAATGCGGCTGCTCTTAGCCTGGGCCCTCTCTGCTCACTGCTGTCCTGCCCATACCTCCTCACAGTGCTCTGCCGTCCCCTCCCGCACATCTTCACCTCTGATCCGTGGCTTCCCCAGCACCATGAGACTGTCCCCAAACTGCCCTGCTTTTCAGAGTAGCCTTTGAACCTCCTGCTCTTGCAGATTCAACAAATGCTGTAGCCAGTGTGTGTGAAGCACCACTGTCACTCACTGTAGCTTAGAAAGACCGTCGCCCCACCCCGCACCTCCCTTCCAAATCTCTGCTGTTTTTTCGTTCCTCCAGCAGTGGTCTTCCTGGGCAAGACCCAGATTTTTCTTGACCTCTGTACTCAGAATCACAGAGCTCTTATGCACTGCTGTACAGGATGATGAGAAGTAGACCTGTGTTCTTAGATCCAGTCATATTAGTTATACTTAATTTTTTTTTTTTTTTTTTGGTACCAGGGATTGAACTCAGGACCTTGTGCTTGGGAGGCAGGCGGCAGCACCACTGAGCTAAATCCTCAGCCCTTAACTTTTGATATTAGGCTGGTTTGTGTTATTGTATAATGTCACTTATGTATATTCTGAATATTTAAAAGGAACTTCCTGTTTAGTTTACAGCATTCTTTTATTTAAACCTTGGACTTCTTACCTAGCCCTTTAGCGTGTTCAGGATGGGGCTGTAATTCGCATGTCTTGCTGTCGGGTGACTTGAACCACTGGTGGTACATCCATGACTGTGCCGTTTCTACCACCAGTGTTACAGGCTTCCCGATGAGATAGTCATGCATGTACCACTGATGGTTCAAGCCACTGGGAACGTGTTAATAGCTCAGTACTTTCTAACCCGTGACCTACCTAAGGAGAGTTGAAGAAGAAAGAAAAAAAGTTTGATTTACTCTGGAAATAAATGACTTGTAAGCATCTATACTATACCACAGGTATTGACACCCTGAAATCTTTGCATTTGATTTGAAGCTCTCTTCAAATGATCCTTACATGTTTCAGTCTCTTTTTGTTATCTATTAAATTTTTAACAGTTGAATAATCAAAAGCTTTGTGGTCCTCTGATCTGATTCACTGGGATCAACACTAAACTTAGGCTGCTGGTTGACAGTACATTATGTTAGTGGGCCAGTGTCTGAGCTGCATGGGCTCTTTGATGCCACAGCTCGGCTGTGTAGAAAAATGCTAGAAGGCCAGCGAAATTGGGGGCATGTTTTGATCTTGACAGCTGTGGACAAAAGGTGGAATTCCCATGGCACCACATAGCTCCTTCTCGTTAATTCCCTGCATTAGTTTCCTAGAGCTACATAAAACAAAGTTCCATGAATTGCGTCGCTTCGTAGTTTGTATTTTAGGCCAGATGTCTGCAAAGAAAATCAGCAGAGTAGGTTCCTGCTGGGGCCCTGAGGGAGTCTGCTGCCTCCTTTCCTTACCTTCCGCCTCTGCAGGGCTGGGCCTTCCTTGAATGGCAGCACCTGCCTCTTCACATGGGCTGCTTCTGTGTCTCATCTCTCTCTCTCTGCCTTTCTTTCAAAGAGATACCTCATTGAAGCTAGGGCCCCGCCTAAATCCAAGGTAATCTCATCTCCAGATCCACCCTGTTGCCAAGTACTCACAGGTTCTGCTGGACACATACTTTGGGGGCTGCCGTTCAGTCTTCATCCCTAGGCTTCTGTGTTTTTACTATCTTTTCTGAGTCAAGTAAGTGTGAGTGTTTTCCTTAAAGGAAAAGGGAGTGTACAGAAGTTAAATAGGTTTTAGTTTGTTGTTTCCTTAAGGGTTAGAATGTTGATCCGAGTCCAGAGTTAAAGGAATTACTTTTCACAAGAAGGAGGAGGTCCATTGTTTTGTTGTGGTCTAGGGAAGAATAGTAGAATTAGTAAGTATGGTCGAGAGAGATTTTCACAAACCACGACAGTATCAGCAGGGGAAATAAACTTCAGATGTGTAAATGAGTTATTGTCTTGTTACTGTAAAACTGCCACATTATTTTCCAGCTACTGTTTGGGTTTGGCTTTTTTGAATAAAATCTTTCAAGGGTCTGCCACAGATGGGGAGGTAAGCAGGTACAGATAAGAGAGGAGAGAGGTGGTGAGTTTTCTTTTGCCTGAAGAGGGAAAGGGAGAATGTTAGGACTCATTACTAGTGTGTTAACCAGCAGGAGCAAAGCCAAAGAGGAAGAAATTTACCGTCTGAAACATGTGTCACCCTTTCAGTTTACACTTTACTGCAAGTCAAATTCATCCATTTCTCGTAGTCATGAGATCACTCTTTTCCTGCAGAACGAGGAGACTGGCAGAGGGAAAGAAAGTTCAGCTATGGTGCTGGCAACAGCAATCCGCCCTGGGCCAGTGACCGGCACCATCAGTACGAGCAGCACTGGTACAAGGACCACCACTATGGTGACCGGCGACACATGGATGCCCACCGTTCTGGAAGCTATCGGCCCAACAATCTGTCCAGGAAGAGACCTTATGATCAGTACAGCAGCGACCGGGACCACCGGGGCCACAGAGACTACTATGACAGGTGTGCAGAGTTCTGAGACCCAGGAGCTGGCTGTCTGTAGGAGGGAAAGATGGTGATGTACACACATGTGGTTGTCTGTCGCGTAATTAGCTGAATGTCTTCCCTTGTGTCAGCCACGGTCTGGAGTCTGATCAGATGTCACTGCTGCCCAGGCGTCTTCAGGGAGCTAGAAAGGAGCTCGATGAGAGCCCACTGCCACGCATGTGCTCTGGGTGATGCAGTGGGGATTTTTGAGATTCTCTTGGGATTGGGAGGTTTGTTGCAGGCTGAGGAAGGGGAGAGGCTAGTGATTCCTGATCTGGGCCCTAGAGTTGGGTAGGCAGAGAGGAGTGGAATAGGCTCCCCAGGCTCAGGCCAGAAATAAGCTTCCAGGGAGGTCTCCTGAAAGATAGGCAGGCCGGATGAATGCCAGGTTATAGGCTTTATGTGTTATTCTTTGGGTCATAGGAAGTCGTTTGTGTTTTATTTCACCTGAGCAAGAAAAGGTTTTTTTGCCTATCTTTAAGGAAATCTAGCCAAGTGGTAGCCATAAAATCCTGGAGCCAGCAGCAAGAGTTGTTAAGCTCTGCACTCAGCTCTCAGCTGTGTTAGGGAGCAGGGATTCTGAGATGAGTACCAGGCTGTGGTCCCTGCCTTTAGCAGCTGTGCCCTCTCCTGCTATGCAGCACCAGTAGTATGATAAGCCATGGTTCTGAAGTGTGAGACGTAGCAGGTATGGGAAGGTCTGACAAGGTTTTATGTAGTCTTCCTAAATGCAGGACTTGACTATGTATGTGTTCAATCTCCGTAGTTTTGGTTTTCTCTGGGCTGATGACATACTTTCTTTGGATTGTATGTGAATTTAAGGTGGGAATATTGTGTACACACGTGTCAGTGTCCTGGTATCGTTTGGAAGATCTGGAAACCCAGGCTGCACTGGCTGAGCAGCAGCTGCCTGCAGTCAGCTGTCTCTGCACCCCTCACTGCACCCTTCCGTATTGTTGGTCTGACTCCGGTGGGCACTTGCCCTGCCTGCCTTTGTGTTGATCTGTGTTTCTGTCTGGTATCATTTTTCTTCTGCTTGAAGGACTTATGTTTTCCTCTGAGTCTGCTACTGATAAGTTCTTTCACCTTTGAGTGTATGTCTGAAAAGGATTTTATTGTGCCTTCATTTTTGTGTGTGGTTTTTTTTTTTTTTTTTTGGTACCAGGGATCGAACTCGGGTCTTTGTGCTTGTGAGGCAAGCGGCAGAACCACTAAGCCAAATCCCTGGCCCTATGTGCCTTCATTTTTGAAAGATTTTTTTGCTGGGTGTAAAATTTCAGATTAACAATTTCTTGCAGTACTTTATGTGCCTCTACTCTGTGCATTATTTCTTCTTTTTTTCTTTTTTTGGTACCAGGGATCAAACTCAGGATCTTGCGCTTTCAAGGAAGGCTGTGGCACCACTGAGCTAAATCCCCCAGCCCTCTCTGGGTTATTTCTGATTAAAATTATTTGGAATGGGGACATGGCTCAGTGGTAGAGTGCCTACCTGGCATTCATGAAGCCCTGCTTTGGGGAGTGCTACCAAAAAAAAGAAAAAGAAAAAAAATATCCGTTTGTTCCTTATGCAGTGGCATCTTCCCCCCCGCCCCTTTTTTTTTGGTACTGGGGATAGAACTTGGGTCCTTGCGCTTGCGAGGCAAGTGGTGGAACCACTGAGCTAAATCCCCGGCCCCGCAGTGCCATCTTTTTAATCCCTATTTATGATGTATTTTTTTCTTCTGCTTGGGAATTTTTGAGCTGCTTGGATCTGTAGGTTTATTATTTCCTTAAAAGTTAGAAAAATTTTCACTATTCATATATCCTTTCTACTTCTCCTTTCCTTTGGAAATTTGTAGTTTTACTTATATTTATTTTGCTTGATGTTTTCTCACAGCTCATTCAAAATTTTTTGTTTCATTTTGGGTAGTTTCTATTGCTGTATCTTCAACCTCACTAATATTTTCTTTTTAATGTCTAATATCATGGGACCATCCAGGATATTTTATATTTCATAGATGGTAGCTTTATCTCTAAAAGTTCTAAAAGTTGTATTTGGGTCTTTTTCTTCTTCCTTCTTTCTTTCTTTTCTTCATCTTCCGTTTTTAATCTTCCATGTCTCCAACTTTCCAAAATCTGGAATATATTCAGCAAAGCTGTTTTCATGTCCCTGTCTGCTAATTGATTATATAATTTTGAGTTGGACTCGATTGATTGGTCTTCTCATAGGCCTTATTTTCCTGGTGCTTTCCATGGCTGGTAGTTTGGATTAGATGCCAGGTCAAATTTACCTTGTGGAGTGCTATTTGTATTCCCATAAATGTTCTGAAGCTTTGTTATAAGACACAGGTTACTTGGAAACATTGATTCTTCCAGGTCTTGCCCATGAGCTCTGTCAGACAGAATTGGAGCAATGCTCAGTCGAGGGCTAGTTGTTGCCCACCCTGCAGCGGGGTCCTGAGTGCCCTCTGCCTGAGGCCTCTCGAATCTGGGCTTTGGCCTGGCTGGTGAGGGCTGTTGCCTCTCTCCTGTGGGCGCTTCTCCCCGGCCTTGGCAGTTTCCTCGTGTGCTCTCAGAGCATTGTTGGGCCGTGCACTTGAAGGGGGTCTGCAGATCTTCCTGTGATGCGCTTCTGCCTGCCTTGGTCCCCTGCCAGTCTGGCCTCTCCCCACCTTTTGTGTCACAGCCTTGGAAGGTTGTTTTCAGGGGCTATTAGAAGGCTCATCTCATCACTTTCTGTCCCTCACAGAGCACTGTTCTTCATCTGTGTCTTAAAAACCATAGGTCTAGGGCCGGGGATGTAGCTCAGTTGGTGCCATCGCCTGCCTTACAAGCGCAGGGTCCCGAGTTCAATCCCCAGTACCCAAAAAAAAAAAAACTAACCCAAAACAAACCATAGGTCTTTTTGTTGTTGTTGTTGTTGTTTTTCCAATTGTTTCAGTCAGGAAAGTAAATCTTGCCCCTGTTACTCCATCTTGACTAGAACCTGAAGTTCATTCAATTTCATGTTCTCTGTCTCTGAAATTCACACTGCATAAATGAACCATTTTAAAATGAAGAATGCAGTGGCATTGGTGCATCCATAGTGTTGTGCAGTCACCTCTCCTGTCTTTTTTTTTTAATCACCTCCAAGAATACCCCATAACCACGAAGCTGCTATTTTCCATCATTTCTTCTTCCTTGGTCCCTGGCAACCACCAGTCTGTATTCTGACTCTGTAGATTTGCCTGTTTCGACATTGCATATAGAAGGAATCCTTTAACACTTTGTATCTGGCTTCTTTTAATGTTTTCAAGGTTTATACACATTGTAGCCTGTATCATTTCTTCCTTCCACTTTATGACTGAATACTCTGTTGTGTATTTACACTGTATGTACAGTTGACTCCTTTGCTGGTAGGTGTTTTGGCTGTTGTGAGTTATGATGCAGTGAATATTGGTGTACAGGTATCTGTTTACATACCCATTTCTAGTTCTTTTGGGTATTTACCCAGGAGTAGAATTACTAAGTCATATTGTAATTCTTTAATATTTTAGGAACCACCATATTCTCTTCTACAGTGGTTGAATCATTTTATATTCCTACCAGCAATATATAAAAGTTGTAATTTTTTTTTGGTATCAGGGATCGAACTCAGGACCTTGCACTTTTGAGCCAGGTCATGGCACCACTGAGCTAAATCCCTGACCCTAAAAGTTGTAATTTTTCCATATTTCTCCAACACTTATTTTCTGTTGTCATTTTTTTTAACCATTATTTTTTAAATATAGCCATCCTAGTATATGTGAAATGGTATTTTTTTCGGGGGGGGGTGTCCTTAAAATGTAGCTTTTCTTAGTTTTTCAGTTCCAAGGGGATACTTTAGCCCTTGGTGTTTGGTTTTTGTTTTTTGGTGTTTTTTTTTTTCAGTACTGAGGATCGAACTCGGGCCCTTGTGCTTGCACAGCAGGTGGCGAAACCACTGAATGAAATCCCTAGCCCAAAGAAGTGTCTCCAAATATTTCTTTGTAACACTAATTCCTTTTTTTTTTTTTTTTTTGTGGTACTGGGGATCGAACTTGGGCCCTTGCGCTTGCGCAGCAGGCGGCTAAACCACTGAGCTAAATCCCTGACCTTTGTTTGTTTTTTTATAAAAGAATTATTGTCTCTAGATAGTTGCTAGGTAGGTGCTATTTTTGTTTTGTTTTCAGTATTTTTAATTCTTTTAATTTATAAAAAAATACAATTTTATAACAAAAGAATAACAATAGTTAGTACACAATATATCATCTTCAAAGAAGTTATTCAGAATACAAGACATAGACCAAAAAAGTTTTGACAAAGAACAAACATAGTAGCACAAGACTTTCTTTTCAGTGAACTAAGATTTGTTTCAATGAAACAAATTAGCATATATATTAAATATTTTTGAAACAATTGGAATAGGAATTTGGGGAAGTGTTTGAACCTTTCCCTGCTTCCTATTTATCTCTCTTCTGTTTTGCTATTTTTTGTGTATATAGTGTTTCTTGTATATGAGAAACTATAATATTTAACCTTGTATGTCTGCATTAACATTATGGTCTCAAGTTGCATCCATTTACCTACAAGTGCCTCAAGTTCATCTTTATTGGCAGTGCAGTACTTCACTGTGTACAAATACCACATTTTCTTTATCCATTCATCTGTTGATGGACAAATATGCTGTTTCCAAGATCTAGCTATCATAAATTGTGCTGCTATAAATTTGGGTATGCGTGTAACACGGTAATAGGATGATTTTAACTCTTCTGGTAAGATGCCTCAAAGGAGGATAGCTGGGTCAAATGAAATTTCTAGTTTTAGTGTTTGTTTGTTTTGGTACTGGGGATTGAACTCGGGTCCTTCAGCTTGCGAGGCAAGTGGCATAACCACTGAGCTAAATCCCCGGCCCCTAGTTTTAGTGTTTTGAGGAATCTTCACACTGATTTCCAAAAGTAGTTGTATTAGTTTGCATTCCTACCAACAGTGTTGAAGAGTTCCTTTTTCCCCTCATCCTTGTTATTTGATTTTTTGCATTTGTTATTAGATTTTTTTGTTATTAGATTAGATATTTTGATGATAGGCATTCTTTCTGGGGTAAGGTATCTCAGGGTAGTTTTAATTTACATTTCTCTGATGGCCAGCAATGATGAGGATTTTTTTCATTTATTTATTGGCTATTTGTACTTCTGAGAAGAATGTCTTCATTTTGGTTGCCCATTTTTTGATTGGGTCTTTTATTTTAAGTAGTCTCATTTTTTTGAGTTCTTTATATATTCTTGGTGTTAGTCTTCTATTTGAGGAATAACTGACAAAATTTTATCTTCCAGCAGATTGTTTCTGTTTTACCACTTTGATCCATTTTGATTTTAGTTTAGTACATGGTGATATATATGGATCTAGACTCAGTCTTCTGCATGTGGATATCTAATTTTCCCAGCACCACTTGTTAAAGAGACTGTCTTTGCTTAAAGAGATAAAAGCGTAACATTGTGGGTTTGATATGCATTTCCCTACTGATTATTGAAGTTGCACATCTTTTACTGTGCTTATTTGTGCGTGTGCGTGTGTGTGTTTTCGGAGCACTGTCTCCAGGTCCTTTGCTTGGTTTTTAGTTGAGTTGTTTGTCCTTCTGTTGTTGAGTTGTACAGATTCTATTTTAATGGTGTAGCAAATCTGGCTTTGGACTTTCAGCTAATCTTACATCTCTGTTTCAGACACCATCATGACTCCAAGCGGAGGCGATCCGATGAGTTTCGGCCTCAGAATTACCACCAGCAGGATTTCCGAAGAATGTCTGATCACCGCCCCGCTATGGGCTACCATGGCCAGGGACCCTCAGACCATTACCGCTCTTTCCACACAGACAAATTGGGGGAATATAAACAGCTGCTGCCCCCACTGCACCCTGCAGGCTCGGATCCTCGCTCACCCCCTTCTCAGAAATCTCCTCATGATTCCAAGTCCCCCCTGGATCACAGGTCTCCTTTGGAGAGATCACTAGAACAGAAAAACAACCCAGATTATAACTGGAACATTCGGAAAACATAAAGGACAGCTGGGGCAGGGGCGCACGGGAGCCGTCAGGCACGTGGACGCTTTGGTCTAGTGGCCGGTTTCTGGGCCGGAGGTGGGGCTTCTGGACACGCTGCTGCCGGCCCTGCCGCCCAAGGAGCACTTCAGGGAGTGGGAGGCCCGGGCAGCGGCCTGGTCTGGGCACCACTCCTGCACTCTGGCCCCACCCGACTCCAGCCAACTTGGCCTCCCGCCTGATAGGTGCTAGGAAGAGTGGTGACTTTGCATACCAGCTTCAGAGACTGTTCTCCAGGAAGGATGGTGATCTCTGAGTCACAGATGTTTGATTGCCAGGTTCAGTGAGCCCAGGACCTCGGTGCCGAGGTCAGGAAAGCACTGGTGCATGAAGGCTGCTGAGACCTGCTGGACAGTGAGCGAGTGGTTCACAGTGAAGGAACAATGCTGCTGATGGGGCGAGGGTGGGGTCCCACATTCTAGGACTTGAGGGGGAGCAGTCCGCCCCTCCAGTGTGTTCCTGGGAGAAGTGAGGCTCACGGGATGGGGCGGGGCTGGATAAAGAGGGAAGCGCCTTCCAGCGTGACCTCCCCTCTGCCAACACTAATTCCCTTGCTGTCTTTGTACATTTCAGAGCCTGGTCTCCCAGGTGGGCTCCTTTTTCCCTGTGTGCAGGGAGGGTCAGGGCCCCATCTGACTTCTGATTACTGTGAGTTAGGCAGCATTGGCGTCAGCCTGGGTCCTCTTGGTCAGGGAGTGACCCAAGGGGCTCTAGGGTAGGTTAGGGAGGGGTAATTTGGCCAGGGCACGGGAATCCCTGGTGGACTTCTGACTGCTGTGGGAGAGGGGAAGGAGAGGGGACCGTAAGGCTGTGGCGGATCCCTGCTGTGGGCTGGGTGTGTGAGGGAGCGGGGCGGGGCCTTTCAGTATTGGAGTAGGGCAACAGCTGCAGCTGCATTTTAGTCGATTTCCCTTGCGCAGCTCAGAGAAGCAGAAGGGCACATCTCTGACGGCCATGGGGTGGTCAGACAGATGAGCTACCTGCGGTGAATGAGCTTCCACCGCGAGTGCTTAGTTTAAAATCTGCAAATTATAAGCCTGTGTTCATTGTTTTCCAGACTAGGAGGCATCCCAGGGAGGGTAGCTGACTTAGAGATGGTGAGAATCACGCTGGAGTGAATTGAGTCAGCACTGGGGCTGGGTGGTCGCATCACGAAACAGGCTCCTTTCAGTGTACTGATCCTGGGACCTTTTAAACATTCATTTTCAGTATAGCTTTGCCAGTATTCTTAAAGTATCCAAAGCCTTTCTAGATGGAGACAAAAACACTGACTTAAATGGAAGGAATAGTGTGCCTCTCAGCGTCCAGGGTCAGAGCTGATGAAAGCCCTTCCCCTGGCGTGTGCAGGGTTAAACCCACTGGACGGACTCTGGGTACCCTGGCCCAAGCAACACCATGAGCGCCTCCCCCAAGGCCTGCTGCAGTGTCTCCCCAGGGAACAGAAGCGGCGGTGCTTCCCAGGCAGGGGCCCGGGCCTCAAAGCTTGTGCCGGGGCTGGGCAGCCCCAGAGCCTCTCACTCTTCACGGGGCTTGAGGTTGCTGGCTCTGGCCTATACATTCAAGTCTTGCTGCAAAGCCCCGTGACTGCTCCGAGGGTGGGAAATTCAGTCTCCACTTTGGCTACACAGTGAAAAGGAAACCAGAGGTGGAGCAGCTTGCTGATGACAATGCCACTACCTTGTGTTTTGTCCTGCCCAAGCCAAAGAGGAAGGCTAGGTTGGCTTGCTGGGTTGCCCGTGATTGCTGAACCATGGGGGCAAACGGGCACGAGCCCTGCATTTCCATACTCACCAAGGTTTTTCTCTCCAGTTGTTGATGGGAAATGGAAGTTATTCCCAAAGATGTCTCATCACGAGGAAAGAGGAACTTTTGTTCATATTCAGGACTTATAGTGCCATATATATGATGTAGCAGGAGGCAGTATCAGACAGATCAGTGTTACATTGGTTCTGAAGTTACAGTATACGCACTCCAGCAAGCCTCTGTCAGATGCTGAAGTATATCTGAAGAGTGGTTGGTAGAAAGGAAGCACTTCCTCATTGATTTAAATCAGTATGAGTAGCATATGCTTAAATCACAACAGAAGTTTGCACAGGTAGGAATTCTCTCACTGCTACGTGGGAGAAGCTGCCCCGGGACTGTGAGGACTGTATTCCACAGAGCTTGGCTTGAAGGCCTGGCATTGCTGATGGGGAGTAGAGTGGGTTGAGCAAGGAGGGAGTTGCCCTCACCAGAAGCCGAGGTAAATGAGGACGGACCTGATGCATGACAGCCCTTGGAAAGGACGAGGTGCCGCCCAGGCTGATCCCTGGGCCAGATGGCCCTTGGCCTGCTCTCCTCCTCTTAGTCATTCCTTAGCCCTTCAGAGGGATGCCTCACCGCCTGCAGACGCTCCGGCCTGGTTCGCAGGCCTCGAGGTTTGGAGGCATCTGTTAGGGTTTCACGTGATGACACAGCCCTACAGACCAAACCCACTTGTGAGCAGGAGTGTGGCCTGGGCCCAGCACAGCGCTCTTCCGGCCATGTGGCAAGGAGAGCCATGCCAAGGGTTCAGGCTGCTTTAGCCCATCTGCACCCCACTCGCTGGGGACAGGTGGTTTTCTTCATTGTAAAATTGTGGACTTTTAAACCTGTTGACTAAACAGTAATTAATTTATATTTGTGGAAAATGCCACTGTCCTAGTGATTTCTGATGTAAATAATGTTTATATAGTATGTATTAAATTTTCCTACATTGTAAAACTGCTGTACTTTTGATTCTTGTATATTAAAAAGTGTTACTAAGGATTTTTAGCACTGGGCCACCATGTTGCCTTGCTGTGACTGTTCCGGAGGTGCCTCTGCATCTCCCTGTCCTTCTGCAACGCTGGGCCCTGTCCAGGGATTTTGACAGCTTGGTCAGTGGTCCCTTTTCAAGTAGATTTTTTTCCCCCTAGCCAACACCAGTTTTGTTGCTTTTTCCAGGCCTTGACACTACAGGTTTCTAAGATTTTCTGTCCCCTGCAAGCTATTGCCGAGGGTGACAGTTCCCTGGCCCAGCAGCTCCAGGCCGAAGCCCACAGCCGTGTGTTCACCATGTGGCTCGAGTTGCTGCATCTGCCCAAGATCTCCACAGGGCTGGTCCTGGGAAGGGTTCTGGGGAGACAGCTGGGTGCACCCCACTATCCAGAAGAAAATAAAACACTGTGTCTGCCAGCCCACAGCTTTGAGGGTAATTTAACAGTTGAATTATAGATTCGGAGGGGCAAAGCCATTTTATAATGGAAATGCTAACACTCATGTTCACTGTAGCAGTTTGGCACAAGGCGGGGCAGCTTCAGCATGGCCCACACAGCAAGGGTGGCTCAGCCTGCGGGAAGAGGAGTTGCAGAAGCCTGCTCATATCTGAGGGCTTTTACTAACACTTAAGTGACTGAAACCAAACTCACATCTTTGTCATCATCTCCACCCCCCTTCCTCCTGGCCTTGAATTTGCTGTGTACCGCAGGTTGGTCTCAAATTTGCAGTCCTCCTGCCTCAGCCTCCCAAGTGCTGGGAGCACAGATGTGCAGCACTCTGCCCAGCTCCAGCAATTCCCGACACTTAAGTGGGCCTACTTGTCCGCTGAGCACAGGAATCAACTGAGTGTCCTGCAGCTCGGGGGACTTGGGCAGAAGGAAGGCTGGGATCTGCACTGCACGTAGCCCTTGGAATGATGAGCTAAGAACTCTTCCAGCCTGTAAAACTCGACTCCTAATCCTGCCGCCATTCACGACTTGGCTGGAACAACTTGGGGAAACTTTTAAGAACAAGTGCTGCAATAATCTGCTGCTTATGATTTATAATAGCAACACGGCTTCAAAACTGACCAGTGCCAAGTCGCCTGCTTTTTCCTGGAAGCAGCAGGCCCAGGGCCCCCGCCTCCTTCCTCTCTGGCATCATTGCAAGCCCTCAATTAGCGCCAACAGAAAGGTCACTTACTGAAACCCGAGGCCCTGCAGCCTGCCAGCCCGGAGTGTGGACTCCAGATTCTAGCTTGGCCAGGCAGGGTTTGTGCTAACTGAACCCCACACCAGCCGGCCCCCAGCCCTTCCTTCGAATCTTCTGGTTGGAGCCCAGGAGGCCCTGCCTCCTCAGTTTGGTTCTGTGAGGCAGGCGGGGTACAGTGGGACAGCGTAGCCTTTTCCTGCAGAATCCTGAGCACTGGTGGGACTGTCCTGAGCTCCATGACTCGGGATGTCCTGGTTGGTTCTGTGGCCACATGACATGGGACAAGTGTGGCCAAGCCACCTTGTTTTGTCCTGGCCACACTGCTCTCTGGCTTCGAGAGGGCCTGGAGACACTACAGGCTTCTCCCCTCTGAGGTGGGCAGAACCATACCCACTCCCAGGCCAGCCACCCCATGCAGCCTCCTGTCTTAGCCACGTTCCCATCCCTGGGACAGAGTACCCGACGCCACAGCTATGGGGAGCAGAGGTTTATTGTGGCTCCTGGTTTCAGTCCACAGTCGGCTGGTTCCAAGGCAGAACAGCACGGTAGAGCTGATGGAGGACAGCTGCTCACCTCACGGCAGCCAGGAGGGGAGAGGAGGCAGGAGCTGGGTGAGAACACACCTTCCAGGTCACGCCCCACGGACCCCCTCCCTGGTTCTTCCAACAGGGCGGAAGCCGCAGACTCCTCAGGGGATGGAAGGCCGCTTCTTGAGGTCCTGTGGTTCTATGTGAGTGGTGCCCAGGGCAGGGGAGAGGTTTGTAACCCCAAGGTGGTGTACAGTGCTGGGGTGGGGGGAGCTGGGGCAGCTGGTGAGCACCCCTCCCCTCCAGCTGATAAAAGCTTGCTCTGCAGGGGATGGAACCCCAGCAAGAAGGCCCAGCAGAGACCACAACCTTCTAGAGACGCTGCTGGGGCCAGACGGTTACTGGAGAGGTTTTCCTTGATGGAGCCCTCTATTCCTCACTGAGGGCCCGATCTGGGACCGAAACAGGGAGCCACAAGGATGCAGTCTAATGGGCTGGAGGTCGGGAGGCAGATGGTAGACAAGCAATTCGCAAGAGGGAACAATCTCCTAAGTGCCTGGGGAAGTGGCCGGAGCTGGAGGGCAGGGTGCTGGGAGCCGAGCCCTGGCAGATGGACGGGCCGGGGCAGGGGCAGGGCCACGGAGGTGTGGACCCCTGCTCTGTCCTCCGTCCAGCCTCAACTACGAAATGGCGCCCGAGGCAGGGACGAGGGAGTCTCTGCGGTGCCATACAAGGCTGGACGCCTGCTGTTACCACGGGGCTCGCTGGGCATCCCGGGGGCGCTGCAGCCAGGGGCCCCTCGTGCCATTTTCCCCCCACCCGCCTCTCTGAAGCCGAGGCTGAGGGCTCAGGAGCCCGTGGTTCCCGATGCTTCCTGCAGAGGGCAGCAGGGGTCCGCAGACGGCCTGCCAGGCGGCCTGCTCCTCACCCAGCCCGGGAGAGCGCCCCCCCGCCCCTCCCGCGCCCACTGCCGGCGGCTGCCTCACATTGAGGGGTCTATTCGTGTCCACAAAACATCACCTTCCATTGCTTTCAATCACTGGGTTCACACGAGTTTTACTCATTCTAAGCGTGTCTTCCTTTTCTAGTTGACAGCAGCAACCATCACAAAGAGTTTATACCTAGCTTTGTGAATAATAAAATGAACACAAATCGGCCCTGGAGAAATACTGGCTCCTGGACACGGTCTGTAGCTGGGACCCCCGGCAGCCACGACCCAGGCTTCTGAGTGATGTTGCAACGTGGTGGGCTGGAGAGCTCATCTACAATGTCACATTTATCCCTGTTTTCCATTCGAGGGTGAGGTCAGTGGGTGGAAAATCACTAAGGAAGTATGGAGAAAGGAGGATGCTGGCTAAACTGACCCCACAGGATTCCTGCTGAAGGCGGCCGGGGGCGCAGACTTCGCCTGCGGGCGCTGGAGGCGGATGAACCTGACTACACAAGGAGCGGTGTGGCGAAAGCCATGCAGCAGGATTCCTGGTCAGACCGCCTAGTGCAGAGATGCACTCGGGGGTCCAGCTATCAAGGCCCAGTTGAGAAGTTCTGGGGGCCGAGGAGAGAAGCTCTGTCAGAACCCACATTCCGGCCCAGTTCTGTCACCGGCTCAGCAATGCCTGTTCTGGGTCGTCAAGGGCTCTTCTCTTACTCGGCTCCCCCAGCTGCCCGGTGATTAGGTCCTTGTCTGCGGGTTGGTGGCAGAGGACAATGAAGCCCAGGTACAGGGTATGGCATGAGACTCAAGGTCAAGGCCAGAGGACCAGCGGGCGGGCTGCTGAGGCCCAGGCGCCAGGGTCTCTGCCGCTTTGGGAGGCAGGCCGGATGGTGCACATCTATAATTCGACAATTGTCCACCTCCCACCACTAGAGGTCACCCACGAGGTCAGGGGCGGCCATCTACCATCTGCCATCACGCTGGGTGTATCCCTAACAGGGGCACAGTGGCTGGCATGTTCAGGCCTCAGGTATTTGCTGAGTACTTGAATGTGTCTTCCAGCTCAGACCATTGCCAGCCCCACGGGCATGGCCTACAAATGTCCCTGCCAGGAAAGAGAGAAAAGGACTCATTGTTGTGTCAGATCCACGCAATAAGCTCATGGGGTACTTGCTTAAGGGTCCACCTCCAGGGCATTAGCAAACAGACAGCTGTGTCTACTCAAGAAGGTGGTGGCTGGAGATGCCTGCTGCTCCCTGGGAGGGGACCCTGTCCACACCCAGTCCCTGGTGGCTCAGGTCCCGGCCTTGACCTGAGGGCCACCCGGGGGCCCTGCTGATCAGGCCCCTCTGATGGAGCCTGCCTGGGCTCTGAGCCACGGGGATTCTGGCAAGGCGGTGGCTGGGACAAACCAGCACCTGCATGCAGCCCTTGGCAGAGTTCCTGGCACATGGCAAGAGTCCAGGACATGGAGCTGTCACGACACCAGGTGGGTGACTCCAGTCTCCATGGATATGGGAGTGGGACCACACCTGCAGCCAGATGGTGACTGGCATCACCCAGAAGATCCCCAGGCTGGACTGTGATGCCCTTGCTGTGAACCTCCTGGCACTCACATCACTCCTCCTGGGACCCTGAGCCTCTCAGGCTCAGCTCTTGGGGAAGTTGTCCAGCCCTGACCTCTCCAATCCTGTCACTCTTCTGGGTTCAGGCTTTGAGTCCCCACCTCCACCCATGCTCCAGGTGGGGCTGAGACCCCTCTCCTGCTCACCCTAGATTGACTCTGTCACCATCTGGGGGTCCCCTGGGCTCCCTCTCTGTCCTCAAGGCAGAAGCAGGTGGCTGAGGTGGGTGCAGGGGGGGGGTGACCAGACCTCACAGGGCCACCTTAAGCAGGTCACGTGGCTTCCTGCCACCTCGGTCTGCTCATCCGGAACCCAGGGCCATCTCCTCTACCTTCCCAGGTTGCGGCCCAATTTGTCAAGACCCAAGGGCCTCATTTCCATTTCTCAAGGAGGCAGAAGAGGCTGCAGGGGACAGTGAAGGTGGCCAAGCTGGGCTCTCCCCTCTGCCCGGGGTCCCTCTGCCCACATCTCTGTAACAGGGTCACTCCCCCAGGCTGGCATGGCCTCAGGGAGGAGCTGGGTGGTTCAGTGGCCCAAGCTCTTAGGCTATTCCCTTGAGCGGATGCTGGGGACTTCTACTCCCCCATTTCTGACTCTGAATCCTTTTTGAGACCTGTTTCTGACATGTTCCCATGCCCCAGGGCAGCTGGCCTCAAGAGTAAACTGTCACAGGCCCCCTTCTCTGTGGCAGCTGGCCCGTGAGACTGGATGGGGGAAGGGTCCTTGCCCAGGGTAACCCCGGGGTGGCATACCTTCTTCAGTCGGTTGCCTCATCTGTCCAGGTCATCTAGAAATGTGAAATGTGCCCAGCCACACAGTCTGGCCAGGGTACAGCAAGCTCACTCAGCAGCGGCCAGGGAGTGGCCCTCGGCCCACCCGAACCTACTCATGCAGCAAGGCCAGGAGTTGAACCAGGATCATTCTGGCCACTACATCATCTAGTGTTCTTTTAACTTTCTTTTTAAAATGTTAGCATCACTGCAATCCTAGCACTCTTGGAGGCTGAATCAGGAAGGTCATAAGTTTGAGTCTAGCTTGGGCCACTTAAGAGACTCTGTTTAAAAATAACTTTAAAAAAATGTTACCATCATCTGGCCAGCATAATTTAGCATCCGACCTTAATAAACCGAGCTGTCCTTGACCAAATGCAGGGCCTGGGACTGCCCAAGGTGTGGGCTTCCAAGTCACGGCTGGGATGTGGTCCCCGGAGTTCTTAACCCTCAGGGACAGCATGGCATGCCCTGCCCATCTTCTACCAAGCTTTAGGGAGTTTCCTCTATGGGCTCTGCGTTCCTTAAAACTTTGCCCTGGGAAGTTTGTCTCCACCACTTAAAGTTCCAAAAAGTTAAGCTGTCCGTGCTTTCTAACATGAGCAAATCTCACGGTGCCACCTTCACCCAGGGGCTCAGAACTCACCCTGGGGATGGCACAGTCTCCTCCACCCCCTCACCCCCCACCATTTCCTGCCCTCCTCTGCCCTGCAGCTGCCTGGAACCGGCCTGTGCTGTCTGTAGCCGTGACTGCTCTGTCCCTTCGTGGCACCCATCTCTGTTCTGTGCGAGGCTGGACATGCTGGAGCCTACGGTGGCTTCCTACGGCAGCTCCCCAGCCACGCTGGGACCTCACAGGGACCCTGTGTCTCCTCTGGCTGCCCGGAGTCACATGGGCCCCCCTACGACTCCCCCTTCCCTCCCACTGCCTGAAGTCCTGCTCTCTGCTCTCCCTAGCAGTTCACGAAGGCTCAGGAACCAGCAGTCACACATGGCTGCCAAGGGAGGGGTCCTTGTTTTCGGTGGTCTCCCTGCGCTGTGCTAGGCAGTGAATGAGCACAAACTCACTGGATTTCCATGGCGACCTGGGAGCAGGTGCTCGTAATTCCATTCCACAAATAAGGAATCCGAGGCTAAAAAAATCCACAGGAGACCACACGGTTAGCAACGGGCAGAGCCGGGTTTGACGCCAAGCCAGTCTGCTGCCTGAGCTGCAGCCACCCTTGCTCCGGGACACTCTCCGGCACGGCAGACTCAGCTCCTGCCTGGCTCTCAGGCCCCTGCCAAACACCCCACAGGTTCCACCCCAGGCCGTATTGAGGCTGAACCCTGGAAGCACCGGGCTACATCCTGGCCCTTTATTTTGTGACTGGGCCTTGCTAAGTTGCCGAGTCTGGCTTTGAACTTGTGGATCTTCCTGCCTCAGCCTATTAACTAGCTGAGATTACAGCTCTGCTTTTCCCTTTATAATAAAAAGAACTTGCATCCACTCGTTTTTTTTTGTTTTGTTTTTTGTGGTTTTTTTTGGTACCGGGGATTGAACTCTGGTCCTTGGGCTTGCGCAGCAGGGGGCGAACAGCCACTCGTTTTTAAGTGTTTTCTCTTTTCCCCTTACAAATTCTGATTTGTCAAACTCCAAAGGCTTTGATCCGTCCATCAATGGCTGATTGCCGTGCTGGGGGTGGCACCGGGCAGCCTGGGCCGGCACAGTACTCGCCGCTGAGCTCCACCTGCGGCCCCCAAGGGAGCGTTCTGGCCCACGAGGAAGTCAGGACCCGCGGAAAGGCGCCGCTCCACGCGCTGGGGCACCTGGCCTGGGCCTGCGGCGCGGTGTGAGCCGAAGACCATCTTGGGACTAGGTCAGCGGCCACGGCCTGCTCCATATTCATGATGAAATGCGAATTTCCATGTTCTTGAGGACAACCGGTAGCTGGTGCTTGGGAGAGAATTCCTGCTGGTTAAATCTAGGGCGGGTCTTGAAAAAATTCCAAACCAAGAATATTTGCTGGCAAGCGTCCCACAGCATTTTCACCCGATGGTGAGTGAGTGGTTTTCCTGCGCTTCCCCGTGATCCATCCCTGCTGGCTCCCGCTCCGGGCTGGAGGTACGACTTGTGGCACCCGCGTAGCCCCCAGGGTGAGGTCCCCGGCACTGTTGCGTGGGGGCATTGTAAGATGAGGCCGCGTCCCGTCCTCCCTGTGGGACTGCTCCCTCACAAACCCAGCTCCGGGTTCTCTGGAGCCCCTGTGAAGGGCAGGGCCCGGAAGCTCTCATCCTACCTCTGGTCTTCCAGTCCTGCCTGGGACTGGTACAAATCGGCTCTTTGGGTTCCTCGGGTCACCTCCCTCCCATGCCTGTCCTGCCTCCTGCCAGCACCAGACAGTCTTGTGCACCAGTGTGGGAGCAAGCCCACAGAGGTAGACTCCTTGTTTCGCAGGGAGGGACCAGGGCTCAGAGGGGTTAGATGATTTGCCCCGAGCCCCGAAGCTGGGACAGTGGAGAAGCCGGGTGCGGCCTGGCTCAGCTGCACTGCGGTTCTGCCTGGTGACATCCAGTGCTAAGGGCAGGGACTCCAGACAGACAGACCCAGTGCCCATCTTGGCTCTGCCCTTGCTGGCAAGTGGTCTCTCCTGAGTCTAATGAGCTGGGTTGCCTGCAGGGCCGAAATGCGACCACGGCCAGCTGAGGACCTGGCCCCCATGTGCACTCAGGGGCTGTGAGGGAGGGACTTGCAGGGAGGAGGCAGTGACCCGAGATAGGGTCATCCTGGACCTCAGGGCTCTCCTCCTCCCAGCCACATCCTGGGGCACTTTATGTCCCCACACCATGCAGCACCCGACATCCCGAGGGGGAAACCTGCACCCGCCAGGCCCCCACCTGCCCCAGCAAGGAAAAGCAGCGACCTTAGGGAAGCGGAGGGCTCTGCTGCTGCTTGCTTCCTCCAATGCCCCCCCAACCGAAGTCTATTCCGGAAACAGACTCTTACGCGTTATTTAGAAGAAAGTAACAAAACAAAGAAACCAAACTTTACTTGCATTTAGCCATTAATAAATAATTTACAGTATGTACAAGTGGTGACACTCTACACGGTCGCAGATACATGGACGCGGTGAGGGGTCCCCACTTCCAAGCAGAATGTGATCAAACACAACCAAAATAAAGTGCTTCAACTTTTTACTTCCAACATAGGGATCATCTAAAAAAAAAAAAAAAACCCCAAAACTAAAAAACAGAAAAACAAGCCAGCAGGGAGAGGAAGGGATGGGCCGAGTGCTCCCCAGCCCTAGCGTGGTTTCGGTGGAGGAGCAGGACCTCTGGGGGAGACGGAGAGACGCAGGTTCCGCAGCCTCCTGGCCAGTGTATGAGAGGTCCCTGGGGATAGCAGAGGGGCTGCTGCAGATGCTGGCGAGCTGGGCCGGGCCGGCGGGACCCTGGCCAGATGACCTGCCTCGGAGAGGAGACTTTGGGAGGCCTTGCTGCTCCCTGGGGGCCACTGCAGCAGCAGCATTAGCAGTGGTGGGACAGTGCCGGGCTCCATGGACCGGAGGGGAGCCAGGGCAACTGAGGCAGGTGTCTCATTGCCACAGGGCTCCAGGGAAAGGACTAGGGGGGATCCTGCCAACAGCTCCTCCCCAGAGCCCAGACATGGGTGGGGTAAGACTCCCGGACAGCGCAGGGGAGGAGTGAGCAGAGGGCAGGGCAGGCCAGCTGGCCCTGTCCCCTGGGCTCCTGCCCACCCCCTGCAGCCCAGGCCCCCGGCCCCATGGGAGAGGGTGGAGAAGTCAAAGGGTCCCTTCTCGGTGTGGACACTTAGAACCAAGCACTTGTTTTTGGAAGCGGCACTGGGCCCAGGAGCAGCCCTCCTCGGACCCCGTGCCAACACGCATGGCCCTCCGGCCACAGGGCTCTCGGACAGTGGCAGGCACAGGGCGCTGTCCCCTCACGTCGTGGGCAGGAGGTGCCAGAAGGCATGGCGTGCTGGCTGCAAGGTGCCGAGCAGCACCCTGTGTGGTGTCCAGCTTACCGTGAGGGAGCCCTGCCCACCTGGGGATGCGGCCTCAGCCCCTAGAGCTGTCCCATGGGCTTAGTGTGTGCGAGTGTGCTGGGGCGAGTGTGTGCACACGTGCGGTGGCCCCAGGCTTGGCGTGGCCTGTTTCAGTGCATTTCCAGGGCTGCAAGGGGCAGTTCGGACCCTTCCCAGTGTTGCTCTGGTGGGGTGGGGGCTCCAGCCCAGGGGGCTGCTTTGTACATTCACACAGGGGTGGGGCGGAGGGGAGCTGGTCTCCCGCTCAGCTCTACTGTCACAAACACCACAGCACCAACCACAACCTTGTCACGTGCACTAGAGAGGGCAGGGTGGCCCCACATGGTCAGCCCCTCCCAGGAACAGCTCAAGGGAACTGTCCCCCGCGCCACCCAGCCACCTGGCCGGTAGCTACCTCTGCTCCTGAACACTGCAGAGGCCGCTGAGCCACCTGCCCGACGTCTGCACCCGGGCGGGATCTCTAGCCCTCAGACGGGTGCAGGGGCACAGTCCGGGCCTCTGTACGAGTCCGTGGCACTGCCTAGCAGAACACAGGTAGCAGGGAGAGGAGCATGAGGAGGCTAAGGAGGGGCTGGGGGCCGAGGGGCCTCGCTGCAGCTGCCACCCCTCGAGGCAGCTCCCGAGTCCTCTCATACAGATGCAGCTTGTCCTTGTTGGAATGCAGCATCTTGACATCCTCCAGGGCGTAGTAGGCGGCCAGCGTGAAGTTCACATCGCCTGTGGTGAGAAGGTCAAAGACGCAGGCCTGGTAGTACAGGTCCTCCACAGGCAGCTTCTCCTTGCACTTGGCCACTGCCGTCTCGTAGGGAAACGTCTCGGGGGCCTCGGGTGTGGGACTGGCCGCCGCTGGCCTGCGGGCACTGGGGCCCTCGGCCTGGGCCCGGACAGCCTGGAAGTCGATCTGCTGGTTGAGCGGGCAGCCCCGCAGGCACAGGTAGAGGCCTTGGCTGTCCCTGTCCTCCACAGCATTGACCACCTCCTCCGGCATTCGGATGGCGAAGGTCAGGTAGCGGCCCACCTGGCGCACCACGATGGTGGTGCCGATGTACTTGGCCTGGATCTCCACGTGCTGACCCGATACCTTCTCCGTGATCTTCAGGCTGTTGGCTCCGTGCTTGTCCCCGCCATTCTTGGAGCCGTCGATGAAGGCGGCCGGGAGCTCGTCCATCTCGGCCTGGTATACCTTCTGGTCCACACACTCCTGGAAGTTCTTGAAGATGATGGTGAGCTGCAGGGTGGGGCAGAGAGCGGGTTAGGTGTGGGGAGAAGCCAGGCCTGCATCTAAGAGGCCCTGACTCGAGGGGAGCCCCGACAGCCACCCCCGGACACGGCCAGCCCCTCCCCATGGTGGTCAGAGCGCAGTTATAATTGCACTATGTTTTTTTTTTGTACTGGGATCAAACTCAGGTCCTTGCACTTGCACAGCAGGCGGTGAAACCACTGAGCTAAATCCCCGGCCCCTACCACTGCACTATTGGGCACTGGTATTTCTCCTTAAAACCAACTTGCCTTTTTAACTTCAAAACAAAACAAAACAAAACTACTCAGCATAACTTTAGGTCACTGCCCAAACTGGGAAATCCGGGCATCTATTCTACAGACAGATGAACCATAAAGACAGAAGCAGAGCTATGGTTTCTCTTCTATGAGAAATCCGAAGTATAAACACATTAAAGGTCCAAGTAAAAGGTAACAGGAAACAGGGAGATGGATTCTTTGCAAATGGGAAGAGGACCAAGAGATAGAGGGAGGTGAGAGGGCCAGGAGAAGACTGGGACAGGAATTGAGATGTGTGCTGTGTGTGCACCAACTGCCAAGGGGAACGGCATCGTGATGGCCTGCAAACTTGTGTGAACAGAAATAAAGACTAAAATCCAAATCAGACACAACATGATAACGACAACAACAACAAAAGGATAGAAGCAAAGCAAATTAAAAATAAAAGGTCACTTGTGGTAGGGTGAAAAATGGTGCCCAGAGATACAGGCCATGAGCCGAGGGGTACCAGCAGCCTGCAGAAGCCAGGAGAGGCAAAGGTACATCCTCCCTGGGAGGTTCCAGAAGGACCAGCCCTGGGGACACCTAGACTGCAGCCTGTGAGACTCACTGTGGACTTCTGATCCCAGAATTCTAAGAGGATAAATTCCTGTTGGTTTGAACTACTTCCTATACGGCAACTGTCACAGCAGCAGTAGGAAACAGATCTGCTCCTCAAGCTAACGCCACGCGGACGCTGCCAGGGCCACCTGCTGCAAGGGGTCACACTGGGCTGGCCCTGGAGGAAGGGAAGGGGAAGGTGCCAGTGAGCTGAAGGAACAGGGGTGTCAGCTGCATGCACTGTCCTGCCAGGGCTGGGCAAAGCTGATGGAGACAAATGGCAGAGTGGGATGAGTCCCCTGGTTTCCAGCCTTGGGCTCCTTTGGGCAGAATCATGCAGGAAAGGAGGTCAGGGAGAAGGGCCCGAGGCTAGCGTCCGGGGAGGAGAGTGTGTTTCCAGCAGCACCCTAGGTGTCATCCCGGGTGTGGTGTCTGCTGCTCTTTCCCACCAGCTAGACGACACGGATTGGGGACATGCGTGACACTGGGAGAGGAATAAGCACCTCTCTGATAGTCCTGCTCCTGGCAGCTCTGGTGCCCTCCTGGACCCAGAGCAGCAGAACCTGCACTCCCAACTCAAAGCAGAGGGAGGTGTGGTGCCTGGGGACAGGCTGGCCTCTGGGCCACTGGGCTCCCTGCTAAATCCCCACCTCATCCCATGCTGCCCATTATGGCCCATTCCCGGGACAACCCCTCATCTAAAATGCCAGGCCCCAGACCCAGCCGCTGGGGAGCTCACCCCCAGCTGCTGGGGATTCCTGAAGTGGGACTGTCACAAAGTGCTAAGGGAGGGCCGGGGATTTAGCTCAGCAGCACAGCACCCACCTGGCAAGCGGGAGGTCCTGAGTTCGATCCCCAGTACCAAAACCAACCAACCAACCAACCAACCAACCAACCAACCAAACACAAAGTTGCTAAGGGAGCCCCTGGCCTCACAGCAAGTATATGATGAGGACGGGGTCTTGGGTCCCAGAAGTGCCAGACACCAGAGGAAATGAAGTTACCGAAGAAGGACCTCAGCACAGGCAGGACAATCACAGCAGGACGGGCCATGAAGGCCCTGTATGGGGTCTGCGGCTGCCACTCCAGGTGCCTGAGGCTCAGGGGGGCACTGGAGGGTGAAGGCAGCCACAGAATGGCTCAGCGGGGTGGCCACATGGTCCTGGCCTCAGGGGCTGGTGCCTGGGGGCTGTGGGGAGACAGAGGCTGCAAACCTTCCGGAACCTTCTCGGCTGGGCAGAACCACAAGGTGCCCAGAGCACCAGGTGTCCCGGCGCTGCGCCATCGCTGAGAGCAGCTGCACCACACTGCCTGGTGCGAGGGGCGGCTGCAGTGTGACTGGGGCTGGGGCTCGGGCTCTGTGGGCCCTGGGGCCCCTTCCCCCCAGGAAGAGAACTAAAGGCGGCATTTTCTGATGAGACTGGTGGAAGGACCAATGCAGTTGCGGCTGGATCACATTAATTGTTCTCTCCTGACTTGAGAAGAAACCGAAACCTTTTCTAGGGCCCGTGTTAGTCCCTCGCCTGGACGCCGTGCCTGCTGGTCTGGCGGGGACCTGCCAGGCGCGGCGAGGGCCACATTCTGCTTGCCTGCACGGGGCCGGGCCACGTCGAGGAGTCTACACCGGGAGGCCCTGACCTCGCAGCTGTATAAGCGCTGGACTCGGTTTCCCCAGCTCCCTCACTTCCGCTCACCCCGGCTATGGGGTGGGGGTGGGGACGGCAAAGCCAGTCCAGGCCGCACACAGCCCGAGCGCCCAGGGCAACGCGCAACTCCATGCCACTCAGCCTCCCTCCTGGGGGCGGAGGAGGGCAGCCAGGGTGGTCTGGGCACTGGGTGGTCCTGCTCCTGGCAGGGGCAGGGACGTCTCAGGGTCGCCGTGTCCCCGCCTGGTGCGCAGGGCCACACAGACCCTGGGAGGGGCTCCTTTCCAAGTGGAGTCGCTGGGCTCCCTGGAACAGGAAGGGCTGGTTTCGCTCTGATCTCTCTCCCCCTCTCTTCCTCTCTCTGAGGAGGCGGCCTCCTGGAAGGCTGACAGGCTGCCTACTCTCCCTGGCACTCGTGCCAGGCTCAACCACAAGCAACGGCATGAAGGGGCCTGTCAGGAGCCGGCAGCGCACTGCCAACACGGCCCAGGCCTCTGCTCTGCGACACGCAGGCAAGCCCGGTGCGAAGGCAGCGCTGGGTCACACCCGGGGGCAGAACTGTCCGGGGTGGGGGCAGTGACCTAAGACGCAGTCTGCAGAGGGACAGGCGAATGCAGTGGGGGACTAACAGGGGAAGGAAAGGTGGCCGACACCCCAGTTCCTCTCCTCCCGTGCCTCACTTTCTTTGCCTGTAAAATGGGTGCTACCAGCACAGCTGGGAAGAGGGAGCCAGAGAGGGGCGCTGGGCACCATTATCTTGGGGATCAAAGCCCCTGCTTCCCTCGAGGCACCAGGCCACTGATGCTCTCTCTTTGCCTGGGGCCTGCCACCGTCCCGGCCAGTTCAGTGGAAGGCAGAGCCAGGGTCCCAAGGCCCTCTGCCTCCTGCTGCCCAGCACCCTCTGCTGGGCTCTGTTCTCCTTAGGCCGGGCACTGCAGGCCAGGAGAGGAGCCCTGAGCTCAGCGCTGGCAGAGGCGGCAGGGGCGCACGAGATTGGTAGAGGCCTCCGAAAGAGGTAGGGGCGGGCCAGGGCGCGAGGACTGGTGTTTCTCACCCAGGGACCACAAGGCCCCGGTCTGGCCTGAGATCTGAGACTGGCCTGGCCACAGGCACTGGTGCTGTCACCGTCTGGCCTCCACCAGAGCCCTCGGCCCATGGAGATCAAAGGCAGCTCAGGCCAGCAGCGGCGAGGGGTTGGTCGACTCTACCATGTGGTCCCATACCCTCTGGAAACCTCCAGACTGGCACAGGGAGGGGGTTCCCTCACCCCAGCTGGTCAATTCTGCATACACAGTGCCCAGCAGCAAGCCTGGATTAGAGCAGGCATTTGAAATACATGGATCGAATGAATGAATGAAACCCAAGCATGGATGAATGAATCGTCCCCTGCTTTGGTTCGTGGACAGCACTGCTGCGATCAGGGTCCCAGGGTCTCCCCTGGGAGCGGAGGGTGGCATCCAGCAGTGCGCTGCTGAAGCCTGGCTCCACCCTGCCACCCCCAAGCCCCAGCCAGCAGCCCAGCCTCCTCCATCACACACATGGGGGGCCTTTCATACCCCGAGACCTCCCCTGTGCCCCTGCCAGCCCTCAGGAGCCCGAGGCGCTGGGCAGGGAGGCTGGTCCCCTCCCGCAGGATGTTTGCTGCTGGATTTAGAAGCCACAGCCTCTGGCTCCAGCACTCATTTATCTTGGCTCGAGAAAGCCAGGTGCTGGGTGGGTGAGGGGGCCTCGGGGAAGGCGACTGGGTCCTGGAGTCTGCAGAGGGCAGGGAGGAGACAGGCGTGTGCCGAGGGCCTGGCACAGCGTCCAGCGGAGACCTGCTTGCTTCCTACCCGGCAGGAGGGCCCAGGGCCACCAGAGTAGAGGGAAGTGGCAGGGATGGACATTTTCCTGGCTGCCCGGTCACCTCGGTGTCCTCTCCTGGGGTGTGACAGGGTGGGAAGGAACAGAAACACCCTTGTGGGTCAGCCTGGCGCTGCCCAACACAGTGCCTTCCAACATGCTCTTCCTAGGAAAACAGACTCGCTGTGGCCAGGGCAGCCCAGAAGCCCCAGGGGGCTCCCGAGGGCTGGCCAGGATCGCACAGAGGCCAGGCACTGAGGAGGACAGATGTCCCCACTCCCGGCTCTGAGGGCCTGAAGTCCCCCTCCTGGTCCCGAGGCCTCTTGGCCTGTCAGGTCTGAATCTAAGGTCGCCAGAGACCCTCCCCAGGGTGGCGAGGGGAGGGAGAATCTGGGGTGAGAGCAGGGACCCCTCCCTGGGGCCATGGGCCACATCAGTGGCTGGGCAGTGGCCGTGTGAGCAGGTCTTGTCCTGCTGTCCAGACACTGAGGCCTCTTGGGTCAGAAAGTGAGTAGCCTTTAGTGGCCTTCCGGGCCACCTTGGTCCTGCTCTAATCCTTGCTGTGTTTTCCTGGTCCACTGCATTTTGGGGGAGGGTTGTGAGTCTTCCCGAGCCTCAGGCTCCAGATCAGTCCAATGGGGCCACTCCCTGGGAGGAGGAGGGAGCCCCGGAGTGTCCAGTGAGGCTGCGTCTGCTCCCTCAACCTCCTGTCTTCCTCTTTCCCGGATGCCCAGGACCCGCTCTGCTGACCATGCCCAGCAGGCTCAGCAGCTCACCACCCTGGGTTGCGACCGTCCCCAACCCTAACCGTGCATCACAATCGCTGGGGCCTCAAACTTTCTCTAGATTCACAAGCTGCATAGATTTCCACACCAAAACACACGAATATCCCCCACTCCATACTCTAATGTGCCTCTTTCGGGAGGGCCTGCACTCTTGTTTCCTTTGAGTGTGTACTTAAAATTCTGTCTAATAGACCTCTTTATGCCTCTTAAAAAAATAAAGATCATGGGCTGGGGATTTAGCTCTGCGGTTTCGCTACCTGCTGCGCAAACACAAGGACCCGAGTTCGATCCCCGGTACCAAAAAAAAAAAATAATAAAGATCACCCAGACCTTTAAAAAAAAAGCTACCTCCGACTCCACTCATGTAACACGTGGTCGAGCTGGCCCAGGAGGGGCTGCATGGGGTCCAGGGGACAGAGGGCCGCGTCACTGTCTGCTGCACCCTGTCCAGTGTATAAACGCCCGGCCCACAGGAGGACACCTGCCGGGCTGTGGCCACCAGCAGGCTGTGGGTCCACCTGTCCAGTGTAAGGCCAAGGATGGGGACATACGTTTCACAGCCATGCCTTTTCACCGGGTCTTAACACCAGAGCCTTACCGAGACACAGTTTGGAGGTAAGAAAAGACTACTCCCAAAGCCTGGAAATACAGTAAGTGCTTTGGGGAACATTTCTACTTTTATATTTGGCAGGGCTGGGGCTCAAACCCCAAGGCGTTACACACACTAGGCAAGCACTCTACCACTGATTTACATCCCCACCCCTTTTTATTTTATTTTGAGACAGGGTGCTGCCAAATTGCTCGGGCTGGCTTTAAACTTTTGACCCTCCTGGCTCAGCCTCCCCACTAGCTGGGTTTACAGGTGCATGTCACCATGCTGGGCTCTAAACTTTTTTGACTACAACCCCATAAGAAATTCATTTATATCTACCCAGTCTGTGTGCATACACACATTAGAAATTCACTTACCTTAATCACTTATCTTTACCCTGAACAACATATTCACAGGCTGCCTTTCCTAGCTATGCTGCGCTAAGCTATCTGATCAGTATTAGAAAATATCTACAGATATGCACGCTCATTTCTGAAACCAGAACACAGGCTTCACCAACCCTTAGGGAGCCGTTTCCAACAGTACCGCAGGCAGAATTCTAGGGCAGCAGTCCCCACCTTTTTGGTACCAGGCAGCCAATTTTTCCAGCGAGTGAGGAGTGTGCGTCGGGAGGTGGGTGGGAGTTTTGGGATTACTCAAAGGAGCGGAAACCTAGATCCCTCGCACTCGGAGTTCACGGCAGGATTCAAGGTCCAATGAGACTCTAGGGTGGGGCTGATGGACGGGAGGAGGGGCTCCACGGTGATGCCAGCGTCCAAGGCGGGTGTAACCTCAGATGAAACTTCCTGCGGTGTGGCCGCGTAGTTCCTAAGAGGCCACGAAGGGCACCAGTGTGTGCGGGTGGGGACCCGTGCTCTAGGGGACACTCAGAGGTGGAGCGCTGTTGGTGTCCCTCCTGGCAGAGATCTGCAGAGCTTCCTCCCCCACCACGCGCGCGCATGCGCTGGCTAACAACTCGCGGAGCCGAAGGCGCGGCGGCGGCGAGCTGCGACCCTGCAGGGCCCGCCTCCTTTCCCTTACCTTGCTGGTGGCGGTGGCGGCGGAGCCGGGCAGCACGGGCGTGTTGGTGACCTGCACGTTCAGGTAGTTATTGTCGATGAGCGGCCACGCGCCCTGCACCTTGCAGGTCTGGAAGCGGTCTGTGAAAGTCCTGAGGTGCGGGTCTCCGAAGAGCCCGCAGTGCGTGTAGTTGGGGGCGGCCGCGTGCTTGTGGAAGCTCTTCTCGTAGTGGCAGATCTCGGGGCTGTCCGAGCGCTCCTGGCTGTCCCCGGCTGGTGGGAGCGTGCGCAGGCGCGGCTGCGAGGTGGGCCCATCCTTGGAGCAGTTGTGCTGGCTCATAAGGTCCTCAATGCCATGGACCGCAGAGTGGTAGGCCAGGTCTCCCCGGCAGGTGCGCGCCGTGCGCCGTGTGCACAGTGCGTAGGTGCGCAGAGCAGCGCAGAACTCAGGCGCGTCTTCCGCGGCCGGGGCGTGGCTGCCCGAAGTGGCGCTCCAGAACTCAGAGTTGCACTTGAGGATCTTGCACGAGGAGGTAGCTGCGGGTGCAACAGACAGCTGTCAGGGCTGGGGCTCGGCGACCCCCGGCCCCTGTTCCCTCCATGGGCCGGGGGTGCCTGCCACACCTCACCTCAGACTGCACCACTCACGCTGTGTGTTCGCAGATGGTAAAAATTTCCCTTGCTGGGGATGGCGATGGGATACACCTGTAAGCCCAGCCACTAGGGAGGCTGAAGCAGGAGGACTGCAAATTCCAGGTTAGCCTGGGCAGATCTGTCTTAAGAAATAAAAAGGGGCTAGGATGCAGTTGAGTGGTAGAGCACTTGCCTAGCATGCAGAGGCCCTGGGCTCCATCCCCAGCGCCGCAGACACGAAAACAAAACCATCAAAGGGCTGGGGAATTAGCTCAGTGGCGCCGCCTCGTAAGCGTAAGGTCCTGAGTTCGATCCCCATACAAGAAAAACCAAAACCAAAACCAAAACCGTGTTCCCGCCCCTTCTGGATCTTGCGCTCAGCCTGCAGATACCCAGTGGCCAGGCACATAGACCAGCTGCTGAAAGGAACGTGAAGAGCAGGGGCGGCCCAGTTCTGTGGGTGTGGACAGCACCCTCTACCTGTTTACGTTTCATGGCTCTCCCCAGGAATTTTGGCAAAAAGCAATGGAAATTTCGCAGGGACTGAAGCTCCAGTTTTAGGCATGTGTTCTCAGCTCCCTCGGGGGACGGGATGACCTTGTACAGATGACCTAATTTCTCTGTGCCTCCTTCTCCTTATCTGGAAAGCAGGGTAACATTAGGCCTTGCCACAGGGTGGGGAGCACCGGGCACTCTCAGGATCTATCTCCCATGCAGTACGGGCAGCTCAGTGAGCCCTGGCTGCTACCAAGGCCTCAGGCTTGGTCACGGAAGGTTGGCTTCCATCCTAGTCACTGGCTGGTTCTCTCTATCCTGCAAGGGGGGAAGCTACTGAGAATGTAATCTTGGCTCTGCCCTAATTCATGTTTACTTTTGAAAATAAATATGCATATTAGAGACCTTAGTGTTAATTAGCCAAGATGATGATGCCTGAGAACCCAGGCTTGGGCATACCTGAGTCACAGACCTGGACTTTGGCACCTGCCCTTTCCTGGCCTCTGGGTCCTGCAAAGCCCACGGAGACCACAAGTCTCCCGGCACACGGCCCCGGAGCCTGTTACATTTCCATGCAGGTTCCAGGAAAAAGGGGCTGGGGGACCAGCTAGGGGTCCCCACCCAGTGCTAGTGGGAACCAGGCTACCAAGTTGGCTCCAGACCTGGGAAGTGTCATGCTCCCTGGGCCTTGGCTCCACCAGACCAGTTTCAAGAGGCCACTTCCGGCCTGCACACAATGTGGGGTCCACGTGGTGTCCTACCCCGGCCCCCCATTGTGGCCCTGCCTGGGCAACCTCACACAGCTTCTTGAGCTCTAAGGGGAAATCGTAGTGGTATTGGGGCCCTGCTGGCATCCAGACTTGAAAACGGGGCTCAGCGCAGCACCCCAGGGCCCAGGAGGAGCTCCTTATCCCCTTTATTCCCTCAGCATCATTTCTTAGCTACCTGATAGATCGCTCAAGACTGGGCAAAGAATGAGAGGTCTGCGGGGACAGTGACGTGGGACATGGGGCCCACTATGGGCACTGGAGGGGGACATCTGGCTCAAAATCCCACTCCTTTCCTTGCTGGTAGTGGTGGGAAACATACCTCTGCCTCAGTTTCCGTAACTGCCCAGTAGAGACAGCTCTTGCTTTAAGGGTAGCTGAGGTTAAGCTAGGTGTTTGTGGCACACTGGAGACCTGGCGGGCACTCAACCAACAGGGTTCCCAACCTAACCACAGTCTCAGCGGTTAGAAGTCATGGCAGGCTGGGATGGCAGGGATGGCAGGGAAGGCTTCTGCCTGCCACCCACTCAGCAGACCCTCCCCACTTCCACTCAGACCCCCACGGGTCCAGACTGTCTGGGGGCCACACATCCCATGGCCAATGGTGGCTGCAGCCCACAACCTCCCTCAACACCAGCCTCTGACCAGGGAGGTGCTGCGGGGCCGAACTGGGTCCTCCAGATTTGCAGACTGAGCTCCAACCTCCAGTGTGACAGCACCCGGCGGTGTGGGCTTTGGGAAGGCACTGGGCTCAGGCGAGGCTGCCAGGAGAAGCCACGGGCCCTGACCTCAGACTTCAGCTTCCAGAGCCAAGAGAAAGCAAAATGCAGTGTGTTTGGGCCAGGGATTTGGCTTAGTGGTTCCACCGCCTACCTTGCAAGCACAAGGACCTGAGTTCGATCCCTGGTACAAAAAAAAAGCAACGTGTTTGTTTACAGCTCCATCAGTGATGGGGTTACTGGAGCCCGGCTGGCTGATTAATACAGAGGAAGTGAGGACCAGGCTCACTCACTCTCTTGTCTCCCCACACCCCGCAGTGCCCAGCCTGGAGACACTCCCCTGGAACCTTAGAAGGATGAGATAAAGGGGTGGCAAAGTGAGCCCTAGCAGGGCAGGGAGCCCTGGCCTCCCTGTCCGTGCTGCAGACACAGGATGCTCACTTCCTGTAACCTCCCCTTCCTTCCCGAAGTTCTCAGGGTGCCCCCAAATGCCTCCTCCTCCCACTCTCGGGGAGATGGTGCCATCAGAAACCTCTGAAGCACAATTGTAGCAAGTCTGCCAACTCTGCCCTGGGTAAATGACAGATCCTGGGTTCTTCATGGCCATTTCTCTACCTCAAGAGATAGAGAACGGGGACGCTGAGCTTCAGCAGGTGACAGTTTGTGTCATGGGGCAGTGCCTGAGAGGAGAGTCTCATGGATGTGGGGGACTGCATTTTGGGAGGTGGTGGCGGGGCCAGGCAGCCAGGGTCCAATCCAGCTCTGCTGAGCCCTGGCTGTGTGGCTATGGGCAACTTCACTGACCTCTCTGATCCAGGAAAATGCACTGGGATCTGCCAGAGGAACATGGGAGAGGGACAAGAGGTGCTGTCAACAAAGCCCAGAGAACTCAGGAAGGAGGTCCATGAAAGATTCTGCATTAACTTTGTTCTATGAAATCGTAAGTTTTAATATGACTAAACTGCACAGGTGCTGCACAGTGACCCATCTGTGACTCTTGCGGTCCCCCTGTGGCCCACAACTCTGAGGGGCCTTGAGGCCTTGCACATCTTCCTGCCGTCGAAGACGGAGAGGCAGAAGGAAGCTCTGGGGACACCACTGACAGGGACAAGCTGGGCCCAGAACCCAGGGTGCCCACCGCCAACAAGTGGATGCGCTGGGGCCATCACTTTCCAGGGACCTGGGTGCCAGGGCTGGGTGGTCCATGGGTGAGGGGGCCCCAACCCCAGTCACCTCACTGCCCAGATCTACTGCCCTGCATCACTGACAGCAGAGGTCAGGGACCAGCCAGGAACCGAGCCCCACATCCAGCAGGGCTTCGGAGTCACCTGATCCCAGAGGGCCTGAATTTTATGGGTCATCTCTTAAAAAAAGGACAAGACCGTAGACTTCTGATACTAATGTCCCAGGAAAAAGGCAGGGCAGGAAAGCCTGAGGGTTTGAAGCAGATCTTCCGGTAGCTCTGGCAGGGGGAAAGAGGAAACCAGATTGCAGAGCGAGCCACCCGTGATCCGGTGGGAGCCGGCAGAAGGGACCTCGCGGTCCCACAGGGTGGTGGGTGGCAGCTGGCCATTCCTGCCTGGACACTGAGGATGAGAAAGCAGCCCCTTCTCACCCCGTGGGGCTTCAAGATGGCCTGGGTGCTTAGAGGGAGGGGACCTGATTGGAAGTTAGAAGTCTTGCTCTTGGACAGGAGCTGCACCTCACAAATGCCCCAGAAAGATGCAAAGGCGCTCACAGACCTTTATGCTGCTTAAAGGCCTATTAGGAGGCATTGCGTTCTTTGCATATTTTGTTTTGATCCAAGTCTCTGGAGACTTCCAAACTTCAAAACCAGCTATTGTGGGTCAAATGGGAGAATCCAGAGGCCTGCAAGTCACAGTGCCCAGACTCACCAACGGGAAGCCCCTGAACTTGTACCAGAGCCCCATGAGACAAAGGATGTGACTTAAAGGGTGAGCCTAGGCAATGGCTATGGACAGGGTGGGCTCCAAAACCTCATGTGGGTGGAAGGGCCCTGGAGGTCAATGTGGGACCCAGGCAATTACGCGAACCAACTGCTCCTGATGCCACTACCAGGGCCAGAGCTCGCTACTCCCCTGGGGAGCCTGCCTCCCCCGGGGAGCCTGCCTCCCCCAGGGCCCTGGGACCACTCTGTGACTAAAGGCAATGCCATTTGGAACACAGTCACCACTTTCTGGTGTCACTGAGGCGGGACATCCCCTGGGGCTGGCCTCTCCTCCCCAGGATGGCTCTGTCGGCCTTAGGGACTTCCCTAAGTGTCTACCCTACTCTAGAGCCATAAGGCTAAACTCTAACCGCCCAGTGCTTGTTATCTGAGATTTATCAAGGCTGCCCCTGGGCTTCCCTCTGCCTTCTCCACACCTGTCCAGGGGGTTCCTCCGGGAGGGCCACCAAGATGCAGGCTCCCCACTTGTCCGAGAATCCCAGGAGTACGGGCCTCTCCACCCCACCCTGGCTCCCACGAGTCCCACAGCTTCTCAGAAGTTTCGAGGCTCTTTTAACCCCTACTGCATCCCAAACCCAGGGACCAGCCCGCAGCCCACACAGGAACGCGTGCAGGTAAAGTTTCACACCCTGGCGAGTGGGCTCCAGATGGCCTTCCTTGGGGCCTGAGCCATGGCAGAGAGAAATCCCAGGCACATAGCCTGTCGGATTTAATTTTTTTCTCTCAAAAGCAAGCCAGTGCCTCTGGGAAAGAGCAGGGGGCTTGGACGCCAGCAGTACCAATCCAGGCGGGAGGAAATATTTAGGCACCACCACAACAGCATTAGCAGCTTTCAGAGTCCTCCTTTGAACTGTTAATCAAGCCCAATCTTTCAGAATAATAGCCTGATTATTACCACCCTGTTTGCATAACAAAGGAGCCCAATAAAACTTATTTTGCTGTGCACCGAGGGGG